ATATTTTATAATATTTCCATTAGTGACCTTGTCACAAAAAAATCACTGCATGTTAAGCCCACTTGCTAAGGATGCAGATTTAGGGTGTGAAGAGGAACATTCATATCATTCATCATAAGAATCACAATGACTTATCATCCCTTCACAGACAATGGAGGGAATCAGAGAGGATTTTTTAAAAGGTGGTCCAGAGTGGGATTCCACCTTACATGTTCTATGTTTCTTGGAGAACATGATTTGTCTGAGAAAATGAAGGTTCTTAACCTAGCACCTAAACTGGATGACATTGCATCGTTAAGGTTGAAGAAATTAAGAATATCATACAGGAATAACCAGGTGAGCTTGGAGGATAGAGTAAGAGAGAAAGGATGACATTTAATGGCTTGAAATACAAAGTCATGTGTTTAACTGGTAATCAGAATTTGCACTAGGAATTTTGAGTTCACATTGAAAATTACAAGAGGCAGAAGCAAAGTCCAAAAACAACACTTGAGCCCTTTGTAGATCATAGGATGACTCTGATATAATCAAGCTATGACCAAAAAAAACCCCGAAACAACAACAACAAGAAAATATAAATATGTATCAGGAAAACTTCTAGCACGGACAGAGAAGTTTTAAAGCAGTGATAAGATGTTTATCAGGACATAAAGTTCCAATCAAAGGATATTTGAACTGGACTCAGTGAAGAGAAAGTATATTTGCATGACCTGAGAAATAGAAAGTCTGTCTAACAGGACACTAAAAATGTTGAGACTGATAAAGTGTGGGCTAAGGGTGAGGGAGAAGATATGCGTAAAATAATGAACTGTGCTGCTACAAAAATCAATGTGCTCAACGTGAGCATGAATACACATAGACTGAAAAATACATTAAAGATTTCTAGGACAATATATTCTGCAATAACCTTCTACTCAGAATACTGGGTAAAAACAATCTACCAGGTTTAAGATGGAGAAACTTATGAATGAGCTTTATGAATGGCAACCATAAAGCTCCCAGGATATGGCTCAGGGCTGTGATGGAATCATATTTTTTTGAGAGGCATTCTGATATTGTCAGATAAAAGGTGTTGCATAATGTGTAAAACACTCTTTATAATTAAATATATCTATTCTTCCTTTATTAAAAAAAAAAAAATTCCAAACAACCCTTACAGCTTAAAAGAAGGAAAACTAATATAGTGTGACACTATAAGAATCAGAATTGCTGCATGGATGGATACACATGGGTAATAGATGTCAATTAGTCAGAAACTTAGGTAGTCTCTATAATGATATTGCATAGGATCTACACTGCAGAAGTCTTATTTCTCTAACTTCTACAGCAGCACAGGAAGATGCCTGCCAGGCTACATTTAGACCTTTTGTCACTGGGTGCTTTCAGTATGCAGTGCACACAAACTGCACAGTATTTTGGCTAATAAAATAACTGTTCTTAATGGGATGTTTTGAGCAGTAAGTGACAGCTATGGACAGAGAAGATGTTACCAGCGCTCAGAGACTAAGTATTTTTGTGGCATAATTTTATAGTCAGACCTGATAACAAGCACTGGTCCTGTTCTGCTTGCCAATGCTGTTTTACATATGTATAATGGCTGAGCAGCATTTAAAAAGAAGAATTAGGATGGACAGGTTAGGGTTCCTGCCTCTCTCTTTGCTTCTCTTTATCTATTTAATCCTTCTACAGTATTTGTCACTTAGAAAATACCTAAGTAACTAAACTACTCTACCTTGAATGATTTGTACAGCAAACAGAAAGGTCCACATACTGCGGCCTTGGTCACATTTTTGTCACCATCTTGAATTCACAGATTTAAATCAGGATGATGCGAGAGAAGGAAAAGCAGTTGGCTGCTATTTCTCTGCTTTAATTGTTGAATTCACTGTGTGACAGGACGAAACATAAACTGAAATATATCCCTGGACACACCCCAGAATAGTAATGCCTTTTTTTCTTAAAAGGACTTTAAAAGGTATAGCTTGGAGGCCTGTATTTGCTCTCTGCTTGTAATTTCTAGTAGAGTCAACAACTTACAGCTGGTTTAATTGAAGCACAGTACATAATAAGCTGAAAAGTATTTCAGAAAGATAAGTGTTGAACATAAAACCCCAAAACACACAAGGAAAAATGGGTTCAGAGAGGCTTCTCCAAGCATAAACTGATCTCCTAGACTTTTCTTATTGGATTTGATGACATTTTTTCGCCTCTCAGAAGTATTTATTACTTTAAAAGTAATACAGAAGAAGAATAAATTCAACAAGATTTTATATTTAATTTATCAAAAATATACCTATCAACAGATTGAAAAATTATAGAATCTTGTGAACGATATGGTTTATTTTCCTTCAGGAGAAAGAGCAACACATTATTGTGAGAATAAGATGCCCAACTGTGCAAGTTCTCTGTCATAACCATTCTCCTTTTACCAGACTGACTATATCACACTCCCACAAACCTGCCAAGGCAAGCACCATGTGCTTACAATGGTAGAAGCAACCGCCGGATGGCTTGAAACATATCCCGTGCCCCATGCCACCATCTGCAACACTATCCTGTGCCTTGAAAAGCAAGTCTAATGGTGACATGGCACCTCAGTGTCCTGGTTCCAGCCCAGAGGGCAACTGAGCACCGCACAGCCACTCCCTAACCCATTCCCTCTCAGGAATGGGAAGAAGAAAATAAAGCAAAAGACTGGGGAATACAGATAAGGACTGGGAGGGTTGACTCACCCATTACAGTCACAAAAAGGCAAAACCAGACTGCTTAGGGGAAGAAGAAGAACATCACTTTAATTCACACACTAACACCACCAATACTTAATAGACAGAGTAGGACAGTGAGAATCACTACCACATCTTAAAAACACTCTCCTCCCACTCCTCACTTCTTCCTTGGCTCAGTTTTGCTCCCAATTTCTCTACCTCCGCCCTCTGGGATTAAACCAGGACACTCAGAACTGAGTCAGATAACGGGACTCATTTCTGAAACAGCCTCATAGACACCAGGCCAATGAACATGGATGTGTCACATACCCTATCATGAACCAGCCTTGGGGAAAGTCAGACGATACAATGGACTGTTAAAGTCTGCAATGAGAGCAAGTGGTGGTGGGACCTTCAAATATTGGGATACACATTTAGCATAAGCCACGTGGTTTGTCAACACTAGCGGATTTGTCAGTTGAGCTGGCCCTGCCCAATCAAAACATTTATGTACTGTAGAAGAGAATTAAGTTCCTGTAGTTCTCCTAAAAAATATGGTGAGGAAGACAGTCTGGGTTATTCCTGCCTCAGGCAAAGTCAAACCCATCAGTGGATTGCTTTTGCTCAAGGACCCGGGTGCACTTGGTGGGTGATGCAGCAGGACAGGGAAGTCTGATGTGCGCCTCAAGGGGATCTGATTCTAGGTGAGAATAGCCAATGAATTAAATTGTGTGATGTTAATTGCTATTGAGAGAAGGCCAGAACTACTCTTGTTTAGAGCAAAGAACTTGTTTATAGTAGAATCCTAGTTGGTCAGCATGTTCCCATTCCTATTATTTTCTTCCTTTCACTCGCATACTTTAGTCAACTGCTAGGCAGAAATAATAGCAATATGTTCTGAAATGTGAAACTTTGCCCTGAGAAAATTTGAGTAGACCTTGAGATGGTTAGTTGAATTCTCTGAGTACCCCTGATAACAGGGGCCCAAGACACCAGTGTCAAGACAGGCACCTGTGAATTAATTAAAAACTGTCCTTGGAGCATCCCAGGGCCAAAAAACGGGTTAGCTAACTCCATGACCATATATGGGCAAAGGAAGACCAAAGTTTGATCAGCGGACACTGTGAGGAAGACTAGGAACGGCCATTCGAGGGGGGAAAGACCCTAACCCTAATTTTATCACGCATGTTTGGACTATGTAGGTAAGTTCTGGGAAATCTTCTGTATATGTAGATGAGCCCTAAGGAATTCACTGAATACGCATAACCTCACAGCATATATTCTCTGTGATTTTACCTGTCGGAGCACTTGTGGCAGAGCCATCTCTAGCGCTGCTAATAAAGAATACCTGCTGAACAGTTATATCAGATTCTAAAGGTTGAGTGAGTTTCTGTGTGTCACCCTCTCACACGAAATGGTTAAGGCAGAAAATCTGAGTGATAACCAATTCACCATTATCAGTCCAATAGGGTTCAATATATTAAACAGTTACGATTTGGATACACTAATAGTGAACTGCACCTTCAGACTAGTCGTGCTCATGAACTAGCATGGCCACTCTCTGGTTGCGTTCTGTGAGAAACCAAAATAACTAGCTACTTAAATGGTACAGTTTATTTAAGTGACATGTATAGAGGTTCTTATGATTGCTGGTGATAAATACACTCTCTGCAAAGCATGTGCAAATAAGAGTATATATAAAGTATGCAACAAGGTTATAACAATACAGCCTGGTTATAAAAATGGAAAAGAGACTTTCTAGAAAGATTTCAAAGTTCTTAAGTCTTACCCAAAGGTGTCCCTATGGGGAGGGAAGGAGAGGCTCAGCCCATGGACTGGTCCCAGAAGTTCATATGATGGTGTCTTCCCTCACTTTCCTTGGGCTATTTTTAGACTATTTTTTACCTTCAAGGTGGAGTTTGAGTGACTCTAGTTAAAAATACCTTTATTATGATTGGTGTAAAATTGTCTCGCCTCACATTTAAAGGTATAGATTACAAAAACTCACGGCGCAGACTCAAAGAGGAGTGGTCGCACCCTGGAGGCGGGTAGCCTTGGGGATGGAGGTGTGTTTTGGTATTATAATGACATTACAATGAGCAAAGTTCGCACAAAGGACAGCATTTCATCAAAACCTGACAGGATGTTGGCTCGGGGTGGCCAGCTTATCAGTTCTGTAGTACCACCTCGTTCCCGCACCTACTGAGCCGTCACGGGGAGAGACCGTGAGCCCTCCCGCCCGCTTCGCTCCCCGTGTGGCTTTGCAGGCAAGATTGTCCCGGAAATCACAGATGACGTGATGGATTCTTTGCGTACCAGCTGCAGCCGCGTTTTACCCTGGACGCCTTTTGATTTTACACCTTTCCTCAGTGCGTGGGCAATGTTGGATTTCGGTCATTTTAGTAATTACGCCACACGCCCCTCCGGCGGCTCGCCCGCTCGCCCTTTCCCGCCGAACTACAACTCCCGGCACCCCCCGAGGCGGCGGCGGCGCGTCACGGTCTGGTCCCTCAGCCGCCGCCATCATACCAACAGCCGGCAGCATGTACTATAGCAGCACGCAGTGGCGGCACTGGACTTTCCGCGGCGAGGAGGAGCTGGCGCGGCGGCGGGCCGAAGCCAACCACAAGTTCCTCGGCAAAGCGGTGGCGAGCGGGAAGGTGCGGGGGTGAAGGGGTGGGGGTGTGTGTGGGTGTGTGGGGGGTGTGGGTGGGGAAGCGGCAGCCGTGGCGGATCGCAGCCCCCTCAGCCTCCCGCCTTTGCTGCCGCCCGTCTCAAGGTCCAGCAGACCGACCCTGCCCTTCTGGAGCCCCACGAGGAGCTGGCGATATGCAAGTACTACGAAAAGCGGCTGCTGGACTTCTGCGCCGTCTTCAAGCCCGCCATGCCTAGATCCGTGGTGGTAAGTAGCCTCCCGGCGTGGCTGGGGTCGGGTTTTGCTCCGCTTTGACAAACACCGCCCCCCCCCCCCCCCCCCCCCTCAATTCCACCCTCACGCGTGCCGTCGCTTTTTCGCTTTTCTTCTTGCAGAGCACTGATACCTACCCAAATTTCTTGCCTCCCCTCCCCCGTCATGCAGTCTGTGCTTCAGCCCGGTTTTTGTCTCAGCTTTCTGGGCAGCGCAGCCATTTCCACACCGGTTGTTTTTCACCTTCATCCCTTTCTTGTGACAGTTAAACTTGCATGGATGACTTTTTTTTTTTTTTTTTTTTTTTTTTTGTCTTAACCAAAGAGTAGAAACAAACATAACGATATACGGATTGGTAATGCATTAACATGATCTAGCTAGATAAAGGAGGCAGTCCCAAAGTTGGGCTGTCGCCCAGTGGTTTCTCAAGCATTGACATCTGTCTGACCACAAAGAACGACGGTTTAAGCATCTATATTGGCAGTAAACTAACCTACAAAGGAAGGAAAAAAAATAGTCATCGAAAACTAGCTTACCTTGAGCACGGAAGAGTGCATTATCAGAAGAGAGAAAGTGGGGACTTACAGCTGAGGCAGGCAATTAAACTGTGCTTTTGTCACCTAGCCTTTAAGGTGTATAACCTATATTGTCCCCTGTTAGTCCTCCCTTTTGCGGGCAGGTATGGTGAATAGTAAGTGCCTTGTCTGAAAACGCATTTGAAATGTAGTGGTAGGCAGCCGTTACATTCCCTCGGGAGCCAGACCTGGTATTTCAGAAGTGGCCCCTGCAGAGTGTATGTATGTGTTAACGGTCGCAATCGCGAAAGAACTTACACCCAGCAGATAAGCAGGCACTTCTTTATTCCAGCGCTGGGGAACAAGGGGGATAGCTCCGCCAAAGAGGTGTTCAGCGACAGATGAAAAACACCACATATTAATACACTTTTTCAGCAGAGTCATGGTTACAGAGTCATGGTTACACAGTCATTTTAACTCAAGATCCATAACCAGTACCCACTGTTTTAATTCAGAGTCCATAATGATTCCTATCGTGATTAAGGCAAACACCATACTAGTTGTCTGTTCCTAAGGGCCTCAACAGACCTTATATTGTCATAGCTGCTATAACTCCATTTTAAATCAAGGTCATTTTTTTTAAACTAAAATCAAAATAATATTCTAGGATTCAAACTATATTATTAAGGTGTTTGCAACATTTGTGCTGGATCAGACTCACCGAATAATGTTTTTTGGAAAACATCTGCTTTCATGCCAGTGGTGCTCAGATCAGCCTGGAAATTTGGCGTTGACTGCAGTACTTCTAGACACACAGAGAAGCATCAGTGTTAAAACATGTTGGAAGACTTGCTGATCTCAAAAGTCAGATGTTGTGGCTGGGTTACTCACAACTTTCACGCTAATTTTTTCAGTCTTTCACTTTTAAATTTCATTTAGATATCAGATTTTTCTCATGAAGATATTTTAGGCTTTTTGAACACTGTCTTCCTAAATATGTTGAAAAATGGAGGAAAATACAACTAAGCTGCCATTTTGTATGGCTCTTGCAGGCATAAATGTATTAAACTTTGAAATATTAAGTGATGTGGCATTGAGTGCATCTTAGTGCCTTAGTGTATCCTGTATGTCTGTAGTATATATTCAAACTTGCCTGTTTTGTTTTTATTAATTTTTATTATTTCTTAATCCATTTTTGCTTCTATACTTATTTTTCCTTCCCTTTTTTTTTAATTTAGGGAACAGCTTGTATGTATTTCAAACGCTTTTACCTCAATAACTCAGTGATGGAATATCATCCTCGGATAATAATGTGAGTTATCAATGCATCTTGAGTTATTCTATCAAGCAGAACATTGCAGGAATAATCTTTATAAAATCTGTAAGGACCTGAAAAAATGAAAAAGGAAGACTTGAGACCTTAAATATGAGTAGAGTATGGTCACTTCTAGTTTACATTTGGAAAAGTTTGCTGTGTTCAGAATATGGTGCTTTGAAGATAAAAATTTTATTAATAGAAGTCTTGATGAAAAGATGGATGTTGCATATGTCAACTGTTTGCTTTTTTTCCCCTCCTCAAGGCTAACATGTGCATTTTTGGCCTGTAAAGTAGATGAATTTAATGTATCCAGTGCACAGTTTGTTGGTAACCTTCGAGAAAGCCCCCTTGGACAGGAAAAAGCTCTTGAACAAATACTGGAATATGAACTACTGCTTATTCAGCAACTGAACTTCCATCTTATCGTCCACAATCCATACAGGCCGTTTGAGGGTTTTCTAATCGATTTGAAGGTAGTATTGTTTTATCTGCTACATATTCCATATACGGACATAATACAAATCTGTCATGGGCTGCATTAGAAAACTTTATTTTCCTCTGTGCCAGTGATCTTAAAAGATCTAGTTTATAAAATGCGAGGCAGATATCTGCAGGAGGTTGTTTTAGTCGTGGTCTCTAAGCACTTTATTTTTGGAATAAGAAGATGTCCTGCTACTCTTTAGCTTTACAGAATATTGTTGAATTATGTGTTCTGAGTTCTTGAACCAGAAATTGAATATGCTAAATACTTACTTTTTTAGACTCGCTATCCAAGGCTGGAGAACCCTGAGGTTTTGAGGAAAACAGCTGATGACTTCCTCAGTCGAGTGGCTCTGACAGATGCGTATCTGCTTTTTACTCCCTCACAGATAGCTCTTACTGCCATATTATCTAGTGGTTCAAGAGCAGGAATTAGTATGGAAAGGTAATCTTTTATTTTTTTGCTACAGGTATGATTGAAACAGTTAATTTGCTTCTTGTATAAATTTTGTTTGTTCTAGACATTGTTAACCTGTAGAAGTGCTTATTTACTGATTAACAGTCTGGTATGTTCTTTAAGTCTGTTTCAAAACTGAAGTGGTACTTTCTTTTTTCCATTTTCAAAAAGTAGGTGATAAATGGAGTTAGTTGGTGTCTGTTTTTTATATTTCTTTGGAAGAAGGAAAAAAAAATTCAAACTGATGACTTTGCCCTAATTAAAACAGCGTAGGATTTTCATACTCATCTTGAAGATTTGAATGAAGAAAATGGAAATACAGTAGAAAGTGAGAGTATGAAACACCTAAAGAATCACTTGGGGGTGGAAAAAAAACCAGATTTTTAAGGTATCTGAGGTTACAGAGTCAAATGAAATTGCACTGAACTGACAGGTACTAAGCATATGGAAACTAAGTACTGTATTTGGCTGGTAGGACTCTGGTTTCCATGGAAACCAACTAATGGCAAGGTGCAGTTTTAAAGCAGTCCCTTCTTTCCTTTCTGTGATCTAGCCACTGGTGTTTGCAGAGGCATTATCAAACACTTTGGTACCATTACTGAAATGCATGGTTTTTTGGGGTTGGTTCTTTTAAAGAACAAACATACTTTTCAGAAAAATTGAGGTTGTTGCTGTAAGTAGCTGTATCTGGAGTGTTTTAATCACATGATGCTCCACAAGAGCATTTTGCATGTAGAGTGTAAGGGCTGCAGGCACAAGGGCTGATGCTAGATGCCAACAGTTCTTTTTAAAGAAGCTTTCCTTGCACCTGCTCAAAATGAAGCTCATCTTGAGACAGTGCAAGAGTGTCCTCTGCAGGGTTCACTGTCCTCTCAGAATTGCATAGAAACATTCAGGTGCTTACTGTAACTTGAAACTTGTTAATCTCATTCCTGGATTTGTATTCTGTACTACTTGTGCCAAAATTCAGAAAAGCATGCTTACAAAAAGGCCTAGAATTATTTGTAGGTAGTATGTGACTTATCTTTGCATACTTATCAGGCATTCAAACCTATCACCTGTCTGCACCATACAGTTGCTATAACCTTCTAATTGTTTGATGTGAGTTTGAGGTGCTGGATACGAGAGAAGCTAATGTTGCATGTGCACCTATGTATGAGTGTGTCTGCCTGCAGGGGTGGGACAGAAGATGTAGGGTCTGAAAACCTGTTGTTCCCACAATGTCAGTATGTAGGTCAGTCTTGAGAAAATTAGAGACTCAGGAAGAAACAGGCTGTCGCAGATGAAAGTATTAGCACAGTGATGATTTAACAACAAGTCAAAATTTATTAATAACTAATAGTACTTGATTGTTAAACAGTTTAAATACATACAAAAATAATTCAGGAAAATATAATTAAAATAGTGACTTATCTACAGATTCTAAGATTACAAGATTCACTCTAAATTACTGTATGGTATCTTAAATCAATACATTTATATGTGTGCGTGCATACACAAAGACAAAAACATGCAAACACACAGACACACACAACAAAGTATTTGGATCCAGTAAAATAGATTATATACCCACACACCAATATGCAGAGAAAGTGAAGTTAGGTCAAAGTTCCCTCCTCGAGTTTAGAGCAAATCCTCACAATGCCTAGGCATTCCTCAGTGGGCAATAATTGAGACTCAAGTGGGTTGACTTGGCCCTGGCCTTCCATCAGCTCTGACAGCAGACAACGCCTTAAGGTTTTTGATACCTGAGAGGCATCCCAGATCAGGGGGGATGCTGATCACAGGCCCGCTGAGATCCAGGAGAGCTCACAGGGTCTCACTTGGAGTGGCAATTTATAGGGTCCAAGATAACTGACTTTTGTCAGTTGTTTTTGCTTGACCCCAGCTTGAACAATGAACCACTCTGGTATCTTCCAGCAGTTGCACAAGAATTTGATGAAGGTGCAACTGTTCTTGCACATCATCCGTACAGGTGTGCCTGACCCAACCGTTAGGAGCTGATGGACTGTGATAACCATTTCCGAGGGAGGGGCAGGAGCCAGGCTCGTTAACGTTCTGATTCACTGCCATTAGCAGTCCTTATCTCTCCAGGTGGGTGGACATACCTCCCTGGGGCAGATGGGTGGAATCACACTTAGCACCAAGCTGCCCAGGGTGGGAGGATTGCACCACCACACAGGTTAGTGTGCTCTGGCTAATAGGTTGCTCCAAATTAATCTTCAATTTTGGTATCAGCACAAGGTTAAATAATCCTTTTAAATTTGACTTCTATGAAAGCAGTGATGCTAACAGGGCAGGTATCAGCTTCTAGCAGTTACCATCTTCATGGTGGCTGATGCCTCAGTCTGGGAGCTGCAGTTGCTACAGCTGTGTATGTCTATGAATTAAGTTAAGACTTTAACACAGACTGAACAGGTTGATAGACTTTGGAGTCTTTGGATTTTTATAATTTATCCATGAGTTCCCTTCCTGGGAAGGGATAAAACTACTTGGTGGTTGTGGATCTTGGTGAGGACTGTTGCTCATCTATGTTGGGGTTTTACCCAGGTGGTTTGTGTATGTATTAATGTTCTTACTGAAAAGAAGTTTGAATCTCTGTGGGAAGAGGAAGGGACCCGCAGACTCCTACAAGGCAGCATTTAGGATTTGCTTTCAGCTGCCAAAAGCAGCGGTCCCATCTTGAAAGCTTTGCTGTCTTTTGGTCTGTCTGAAGAATACTCTTCTGTAGTAGTTGCTTTTCCAGCAGTTATACTGTGCGATAGTGTGATGTTAGTATGATACTTCACAGAATCTTAAATGTAAGTTGACTTAACTCAGTGAGGCTTACTTACAGACGTTTAATTCTGCAGTGTTGGAACTTTGTTTCTTTACATGGCCAGGGAATACTTTTGTCACATTCCTACAGAAGAATGTTGTAAGTGACAGATTAGCTTTTTTATTGCTTCATAGCACTTATGTAACCAAAATATTCCTACTAAGTCTAATCATAAATCTCTAGCAGATGTAAATAATAAATAACACCTGTTTTATTAACTAACGGTAGCTGCCACAAATACTTAGGACACTTAAGAACTTACTCTTCTGTATCTTTTTACAGTTACTTGTCAGAAAACCTTATACTGAAAGAAAACAGAACATCCTTAGCCAGCCTACTGGATGACTTGAAATGTAAGTAAACATTGAAAAAGTATGATGAACAGTATCTCTAAAGGAGGAAAACCAGGTTTTTGCAAACAACAAAAGTGTTAAGCAGAAAGGGTGTTTTTTTCCACCTCAGAATGATGTGGATGCAATGGGAGAAAATGCTGAGACTTTCCTACGATATGAACATGAAATTAAAAGGCAAAGGGCCTGATGCTTCTCAGAACGTAAGCGCTATAGTCAGTTTAGTGCTAGCAGCTGACTCAAAAGTGCAAAATATATTTTGGGAACTAAATAATAGTTTTTGTAAGTCAGGATGAAATGACTCTTCAGTGACTGTCTTAAAAATTACAGCTTCAGACAAAAACCTGCACATAACTGCTTCTACCACCAGAGGGTACATTTTCTAAGCTAAATATTTAATGTTAAATTGTTATGCTGGGATTCGTACTTCACTTCTGTTTTGAAGCTATAAAGATGTTTCAAAAGATGTTTGATATAAAATACTAAGAATGCTATCATAGTTTAGATAAGATGAAGGGGAATGTAATCTGCTGATTATTATTTTTTTTTCGTTAAATGAAAAGTCTGTGATATGAAATTTCCAGTAATAATCAGTTATTTAATGCTTTAAGGTAATGAATGCATTTAAAATGGGAGAGTGGTAGCATTAAAAATTCAGTCCTTTGACTAAGCTGACCTTAGTGGTAAATGCACTGTAGAAATCACCAGGGTCTACAAATTCAATTGAAATTGCATTTGTAGAACTTAGGATGCTTTTCCTTTTCTCTTCCTGCTAACAACTCCAGTCTTTGGGTTCCCATTGCTGAGATGCAAAGGGAACACTGGGATCACTTATTCTTCACTTTCAATATTCTGGAAGGTAGCTTTAGCCCAAAGGCAGTTGTTCTGTAAGCATATGATGGCTGCAAGGAAATTTTGAAGCACCTGTAAATGACGAGTTTTACATAGAACTTGTGATAGAGGTAAAAATCTTGTTTCTTGCAGGGTAGCTGTAAATTTAATTTACATTATTAACAAGTGAAATTGGTCTTCTACTGAGCTACAATGCTGAATGCAGAAAATACCTGTGTATTTTGAAGCTTGTTAGGAGAGTAATGTGAACTCTCTTATAATTTACCTTGAGGACATTCAGAATTGATCATGCTAACAACTTGTTTCAGTGTAGTTCTTTGTGCTTAGCTTCTGCTGTATCTTGATGTTACTCAGAATTAATCCTTGGATGTAAGATGATAGTTAAGTCTTACATATGTAGTCTTTGATTCTCAAAAGTTTGAGTGCTATGTGGAATGGGAAGTTTTATAAGCAAGCAGCTTGAGAGTTAATAGTTTGAATGTCTAATGTTTGCTTTGGCAAATACAAGAATTTTACTCTGTAACCTTTCTGTTTCAACTGTTTGCAGTATGTTACATGTGGCACTGTAGTGTCTTTTGAGTCTGTTTAAAAACTAGATATTATGCTTTCAAAACTTTAGAGGTGTGGACTTCAAAACTTGTTAGATTCTATTTTTTTCTTTCTGTACCATTATGATTTTATTTTGTGTAGTTTTTTTTTTTTTTTTTCCCCCCCTGGTAGAAGCTGCTTGAAAATGTATACAGTGTTCGTGTTATGATGATGGAAGGGAGGGTAAAGTGTTGGCTCAAGCTTAACTGTGAGGGATAAGCAATAACAGTAGCCATACTACTGATTGATAAGCTTGTGTAATTCATGAGTGTGGTGAGTTGGCCCTGGCTGGACACCAGGTGCCCCCCAAAGCTGCTCTGTCACTCCCCTCCTCAGCTGGACAGGGGAGAGAGAATATAATGAAAGGCTCATGGGTCGAGATAAGGGCAGGGAGAGATCACTCACCAGTCACCATCACGGGCAAAGTAGACTCAACTTGGGGAAATTAGTTTAATTTATTACCAGTAGTAATAAATAAATAAATAGTAATAAATGGTAATACATTCTCTGTTGGGGAAATTTCTGGCAGCTTCTGTCAGAAGCCACCCCGCTACCGAAAACCTTGCCACACAAACCCAATACAAGATAGAGCAGAAATTACTTAATGTGCTGAGAACTGTGTTGTTGCCACTGTAGGCATGAAAAATCTCATAAAGAAGTATGAACTGCCAAGGCCTGAAGAGATTGCTGCTCTGAAACAGAAACTAGAGAAGTGTCACAGCTTGGAGCTTTCACTTAATACAAGCCTGTAAGTAGATACTCACGCTTTGATGTGTTAAACTTCTGCCTTTTTTATTGCTATAGAAACATTAATTTACTCTCATCTGTGAGTGAGTGAAAACGAAAACATTTAAATGTACACACAAGGATGTCTGTTCACATGCTTACTGTGTGAATGGCAACAGGAAACTGAGAACCAAGACTCAGAGTAGTGCTTTCAGTAATATGTAAGTACATTTTTTTGTGCTGATTTGCACTGCAAGCTGTAATACTGATTATTTTATAACACAGAATTGGAATTCTGGGTAGCTTCTAGGGTCTTGGTCACGAGGTCTTGTGTAATGAGAATCAAAGGCTTTAAACTCCCATCATTAAAACTAGAATTGTGTGAAGGTTTAATGTTTTCTTAACTTATGTGAATGTCAAAGGACTTCCTGATTTTTCTTTTCTGCCCTTTTCAGTTTAGTACTGTGAACTTCCGGCAAGCTGCTAGTTGAGACTTTGGTAGTTTTTTATGTGACACGTATGTCCATAATCTAATCTTGTGGTCAAGTGAAGAGACTGTCTTACAAAAATAACTAAACATTTCACTTTTTTTTTCCTGGGTGGTGTTAGGAAGAAGAGGAAAGGTTATGAAGACGATGATTATGTCGCAAAGAGAGCTAAAATGGATGAGGTCAGTAAACCTATTGTACAAGTACTTCCACTCTAACTGCTGAGACAAAAGTGACACAGCTACTGAGACAAACTTATGCATCTATTAATACTCTCTTACATGTTGCTCAGACAGAATCTTTTTCAACTTTTTTAAAAAATGAGCCAGAGTTCGCATTAGCCTGTGCTTGGGAGTGTTCTTAAATATCCCAGTCTTCTGTGGGGAGGATGAAGAGCACACAGGCCATCCTTTCCCTCAAAAGTCTTTTGACAAACCATAGAACAACATCAAGCTTAGTACTTGCAGCAAGTGAAGCTCCATGGTCCCAGTGAGGGAAAATAACTGTGAAACAGAGATTTGGAATATTGTGACAAAAGGAGGTTTTGGAAGTCCAGGAACTGAACACTTGAGGAGAAATCCTGGCTCTACAGGTGGAAACTGAGAGTGCAGATGAAATAAAGGAATATATGCTGAAATATACTCGAGCAGGCTTTTTTCACGGAAGTTTTATGCGGTGGCTTTTCTGCTAGTAAATGTTTACATTTACTTTATTTGGCTTCATGAACAAAGCAGAAGTCAGCTGCTGGACTAAATTCCTATGTCAGCCAGTTTGCTCACCAGGCTTGCATAAACCACAGCTGGGTAACAAGTACCTCAGGTTGTAAGACCAAGTATCAATAAGGTGGAGATAGACTGAGAAGGGTGGCTCCACAGATGGAAAGAGAATTAAGAGAATTTCAGAGCTTTCATTTGTAACATTGACTGGAAGTTGTAGAGAAAACATTGTGGTGGAAGAATAGCTTTGTGAAGAACTATTTTTAACTGGACTTCTCTTGATACTGAAGATGTTGTACGTCCTGTTAGTCTGAGACAACCTAAGTGTGGCATTTAAAAAAACTTGCCAAGAGCTGAAGAGGGTCAACTGTCAGAATCTTAACATAAAAAAACACACATCCTGCATTTTACAATTCCAGGACTTTTGCTATTATAAATTACTGTAGTGGGTTGATGCTGTAATGTCACACTAGAATCTAAAAAATTATTTGAATGAGATTGTAATAAAATCAGCACTGAAAGTATGTTCTGACAAAATGTGGAACCTCAAACATATTTTATGATAACAATTTAATGCAGTAAAAGCTTTTGACTAGTGTTTACTCCAAATGCCAGTCTTAAAAAGCATACTGGAACTGGCAACTCCATAAAACCAGTGCTTTCATAATTTTTTACTTTTTCACAAAGTGACTTAGAGAACAGCTCCAACTGAGCTCTGGAGACTCACTTCTTCCCTGCCCCAGTTTAATTTCAAGGGGATCTTACTTTAGTTATGCTGCTATGTTTTGAGGCAGTTTTGATTTTGTTGTTTTTTTTTTTTTTTTTTTTCTTAATTTATAGTCACAGTTCTTTTTCCAAAGGAGTAAACAGATTGGATAAATTTACATTGCGTACAGCATTTCAGGATAAGCTCTTGCAAGAGTTTTACCAGCTCCTGAAACCTGGGATTTTAAAATACCAAATATCTGAACTGCTAAGGGTTTGTATTTATATAGTTTCATTTCTGATTAATTATTACATGCAAGAGCAGATCTGAGCTGGCCAGGACAGAAATGAGACAGTTGTGTTCAACTCTTTGAAAGCTTATAGCATGTGCATACTGCTCAGACCTTCAGACTTCACTAATCCTGTAATTAGCTGCTGTTAATGATGTTTATATCTGTAAGTAATTAGTGTGTAGTACATAAGTGCACAATCAGTTCTAATCTATTTGTAATATTTTGTTTCGTGATTTAATAGATTACAGCTGAAGTTAATAGCAAGGCCATAGCTGGTACGGAGAGCTCATCGATTTGAAATGCTAGAAGAAACACAACAGTACAAGTTGAGCACAGATGACTCGTCTGCCAAAGTGATGAAGCCATGAAAAGCACGAGGTGTTAGTGAAAGGTGGCAATATGGGCTCTTGTGGAAATCTCTATGTAGTTGTCCATGATGAAGAATCATGAGCTAAACCTCAAACCGGTGCTGAAAAGGAGCTGCTAAAATGGCTGGGTCTCCATGACTTTTAAGAGTAGGCATGGATAGCTAGCTTTTAATATTAAAGGTCTTAGTCAGCACTAGTTAAATATTTCTTAGTCTTCCTTCTGTTTCTGAAACACTTCCATTGTGTATTAAATTCTGGCCTTAAAGAGCACAGCTTTTTATCAGTGGGGGAAGGTGGTCATGTTCTTAATAAGCATTGTGGTATGTGTGCAGAAACGAGGAACAGGGCTTAGTCCCAGGAGGCTTTCAACCCTCTGCCAAAAGAAATACAAAAAATAAAGTCTTCCTTTTGATACTGCCCAAGTTACTTCTGTTTTATTCCTTGTGTAAGACACTGGGCACAAGGGGTAGTACTGCTTGGAAAGGGGTTTGCAAGAAACGTTTTAAATGAACTCAGGAATCAGAACTTAACTGGGAGTCTCACACCAGATCATGGCATACCTGAAACCATGCTCATGTTTAGTGGTGGGAGTAAGTCTCAGCAGAAGTGCAGATTGTGGGGACTCTAAGGAAAGGAAATATCCTTCCACGTTTGCCGTGACTTTAGGTGAGGCGTATCATGGAATCTGAAGAGAAACTTAAAAAACATGCATTTTGTCAAGTAACTTCTGTGTAGGCCTTGCATTAATTCTTCTTTCCAGTTTGAGCTAGCCTTGTGAGTTAACCGAGACACACAAGTGCTGTCTGGTTGTCAGAAATGGAGTGTGCAGGATAAGCATGGTCAAGTGTCCCAGCAGAAGTGCTAATCTGCCAAGGAACGCGGACAAGCACCGTGTTTAAAATCAGTTTAAACTTGCTATTTAAGCCAGCCTGTTACTGGTAGCAGGCACAGTTCAGAGGTGTGAGAAGTTGCCTGTGTTACTTAAATTGTCTTTAATGGGCATGGGCAGTAGTACCATGAACCTACTAGTTAGGTACTGGCTGGCCCACCTTGCTGTAAAACACACCAAACGCATTGCTCAAGGCATTGCTTTTCCCCATTCCATCAGGAGGACTGATGAGGATGTTGTGGACTTAGTGTAACATTGAAGGAAGATGGAATCCTACCCCTGCAGAAACTGCTACTTGGTGTCACGTGTGAGCCTGCCTGCCACAGGTTCCTTACACTGTGGCATGAGGTATTTATTCTGTCGCTAGTATCTTTGTAATAAAGCATTTGACTTCACTAAAACAATTAGTTATAGTTCCGTTTAACCCCCTTAACCCCCTCATCTACTGAAGGGCAAGCATTAGAAAGAAATGTTTGCCTTGAGAAATCTGTCACGCAGGGAAGAGCTTTGGTCCAGGAGCAGTTTGAGATGTGACTGACGCGTAGGATCGCAGCGTGGCAGTAGCTCGTGTCAGATTGGGCATTTATTGAACAGGATAAATGCAAGGAAGGGACAGATCTGCTGACAGCCACATTTGTGCTTCAGAGCGGGATGTGCTCCCCTCTTCCCAAGCTTGTCACTGAAGCAGCTAAAAGGATACAGCCATGCCCGTAACACTTGGTGCGTTTGGAAAGCTGTTCTCCAAGCTACCAAGAGGCTGCAGCAATGTATTTTACCACATGGAAAGTAATAATCACAACTTTGTGACTCAGCAGCTGTGATCTCAGATTAGTTTGCCGTGACGAACCTGGGGGCAACTGAGAATAGTATTTTTTAATGTCTTCATAAGTAGTTAGGTGTTTTCCAAATCTAGAGCAAAGTCTGTTTCCTTTTCATGTACGGTTTTAGAACATAAACAGTTCTACAATACGCACACCCAAATGCCACTTCAGGAGCTCCTTAGTTTCAATCTCATCGCTGTATGTAATAGGGACATAGCCAGCCAAATCTGTCCTCCAAAGTTTGTATTTTTACCATGTTACACTACCTACACCCAGCCAACTAAATCTGCAAAATAACCCACTTGATCCACCCTGGTTTTGACAAGTCCTTCTGTACCAGGGCCATCAGGTGGCTAGTCAGGGAAGAAAAGCAGCTCTCAATCACAACTTCACTCCAGAAAGCCTGACACCATTTACACACCGCTGTCATCATCAAGTGAAGGAGGTGTGACTTAAACTGTGTTAAGTCATGTACTGAGGTTGTGAGCTGGCTGGAGGATAAAAACAGAGCATTCATCACACACAAAAACGTTACAAACTGGGATCGTGACATGAGCGACCTAATGCTATACAGAGCGAGAACTGAGTAGGGCAGGAAAAAAAGATTCTTAAATTACCTTTTCCCCCCGAGATGCAGTTTGGCAGTGGTTTGACAACACAGGCTTCAGAGCAATAGGTCAAGCAGCGGTTTTATGGGATGAGTGAAAAGATAATTCGGTAGTACCGAGGTCTTGCAGATGGGTACGTCTTCACTGGGCTGTACGAAGAGCATCGCCTCTGCCGACCAAATGTGTCGTGCCTGGGAGCTCAGCTGCAGCGCTGGGCACCCACCTTGCATGAAGTTGCCCCGGCTGGAGAGGCACAGGGCAACTGCAGGCCTGGAAGACACGCGCTAGGATTGCAGCAGAGACCCAAAGACAAAGCCTACATCATTTAGCGTGGCAGTGAATGGAACATGCAGTTCTGAAAGGCAGGAACTGCAGTGCAGTTGTTCTAATGTTCGCATTACACAGTCGTTTATGTCATTATCACCTCATTAGTCTTGTCAGCGAACCTCAGCTTCCTTCTATTCCTTACTAGATCACTGCCTAGAAATGGTGATGCTGCAATACCCTCTGAATCAACTGTGTATTTTATTTTTTTTTTTTTAAAGTTTTAACATCTACTTTCTCACCCCATGAGATACCTACAAATTAAGGCATATGGACAAGGTAATGCTCTTCTGAGGATTCATGCTAAAAAAGTGACACTGCATGAACATTTCAAAGTACACCATGTGCGCATACACTGTAAAAGATTTCCAAAGCAGCCAAACTTAGCCAGTTTCCATGAAGAGTTGATCTGCAGCTTGATTTATTTTAAAAACTTATTTTTCACTTATAAAAATAATATCTATGCTAGACTTACAGTGCACAAAAGACCAACCAATACATATTTTATAAAATGGTTTAATGAATGCATGCATGTCTGATACAATGATCAATAAATTTACTGAATTCAAATTATTTGCTGTTGTAAACATTTTACAAAAGCATTGTGATTTATCTGGATATACAGTTCTTGATGGACGAACTATTCAGACTGAATCAGTGGCACATCAAAAAATAAAGCTGACAGGACCCATTCTGCATATTCTCTTTCAACATGATTCCAGCAAGAGAAACAGCATGGTATAAAAAGTGTACAGTAAAGATTGTTCCTACCATAACATCAAATTCTGGAAACTGTAAATACAAGTTAAAGTGGTTGAAACAGTCAAAAGTCATAATTATTGTAACCAGTCAGAAATTACAGTAAGAAATGTTATCCAGTTATATGTGGCTGTCAAAACAACACATTTCTTCTCATGTCAGTTGATAATTCTTTTCCAACAAGATAGCAAAACTTTGGCAATCAGAGGTGCTGAAAATAATTTTCAAAGTTCAAGACACAGTCACAGCATTTTCTTTGCGGAAGGTGAACTGTACACCAAGGCTCAGAGGTTGTGAAAACTGTTTCCAAGTGGAAAAAAGTGCAAGTGTCCTGCACAGATAGCTTAAAAAGCTGCTGGTACAATCATTCACCAACAGAATCTTTGTTTTCTTTTTGCATAGTTCACACATCACTGGGAATGTGACAGGGTGTGCTATTTTTGGCAAGAGCAAGAAGAAAGTGATACTGGTGTGAGTTGCCATTTTGGGCATGCTGGATCCATGCAGAATTCAGGTGCAGGGCTGCTACCTGATGTTATTAGACACTGAATACTGATTTTGTTTCTGTTGAAGCAGTTCAGTAATAGCCAAAAGCTTCTTGAGGACATGCTGTAGGAAGAGAGTCAGTAAAAACATACATGAGCAACTGGAAACAGAGCAGTCTTGCTTGAGAAGCAGTTTCAGCATTAGCCTATCAGACCTGCAACTAGGTAGTTTAAAATATATTTAAAAAAAAAAAAAAAGGGGAAACAACCTAGTCTGTAAGACATTACGTTCATGAATGAATGAAACCTAAACCAGCGTTATGAACTTTGCCTCTCCACCCCTAGTTCTTTTTGCTACTTTGCAGTTTGGCAGGGAGGCTAGGAAAGTGTACTGCTGACACACTGCTGGGGTTTGCTAGGAAAGTTTGTCACGTTTGTTTACAATTGTGCTGGCAAATCAGGAAGCAGAAATGAGGTATCAATAGAAAGCTAATGGAAGTAAATCTAGTTCTCAATTGAAAAAAAATGAAGATCCGAAAACTAGCGACCCAGAGTGCCTGTCAGGAGACTCTAATTTTGTGGGTTTAGGCTTCCTCTAGAAACTACCCCTGGAAACTTTAAAAAAGACCTCTTTGGTTTTGTTGCATGAAGAAACAAAACTACAGGCTAAGTGCCTGTACAGCTAATAACCTCCTGGTGAAATGCACCTATTTTAAGATGTTTATCCATCATACCCCTAGCCAGAAATACTACAAATGAATCTTGATAGGAGTAACTCAAGACGCATGTTGTCTGTACCCATGATTTGTTTGTTAACCCTTTCTTGCTTACCTGCATTACACCTCGCTCGTTGCTGAGCGTCCGGAGTTCAGCTGAGTGTGCCACACAGATCTCATGCAAGGCCGCCAGATCCCGAGACAGGTCAGTTCTAGAGTGCTCTGTAGTGTCTGGGAGCTCTGGAACATTCTTCAACAGAAAAGACGAGAGCAGATTTAGGATGCTGAGGACCCAGGAAGATAAACTGCAGCTCTACAGTTCTGCCAACACAACCGTTTCATACCGCAAGCAAGTCCTGCAGTGCTAGGTCTTCCCAGAAGTCTCCAGTTGATCTTTTATGAATTACGGATCTTCTCCTCTCCACAAGCAGAAGTTTTGTGAGTATACTGCAATTTCTATGATGGCTAGAAGGGTTCTGGTATTGCTACCGTGGCAGCTGCCCCCACCTGATGAAAATGGGGCTTCCTGGCTGCTGAAATATAGTGGCCATTGATTTTTTTTTTTTTTTTTGTTTTTCCCCCACACCCTTTTTCTCAGGGTTTTACAGTAATTGGGGCCCTCGGCCAGTAAGGGCTGATGTTGACCACAGATCAGATTGGGCTTGGGTATAAGCGGAGTCCCCTGGGGGAGCCATTCTGAGACTCCCCTAGAGCCCTGGGTCAGGACACTGCCCAGAGAAATTCCTCCAGGTTGAGAGCCCTCACTTTTTACATCGATGATGAAGCATTTTGGACTGTCACTAAATCCTAGGAGTTTGTGCAGTAGTAGTTTCTTCCTCTCATGGACATTTGGATCTGTCATCTGTGAATGATTGCTGGAGTGCCAATTGGTTGTATTAAAATAATCTTGGTTTTAACTATTGTCTGTTTATTTTGAGAGCCTCTGCAACACTTTAATGGGCGTAGTTGCCAGCATGTCAACAGAGCAGTTATTACAGAGGCACAGCTGTGTCTCTTCTGCCCCAGATGTACAGTGGGCGAAGGAGAAGTGGTTTGATCTGGTGGCAGTTGTGAGAAAGTTGGAACAGAGCCATGGAAGTTTTTGGGATGGCAGAAGTAAAGTGAGGATGTGTGCCATCTTAGGTGCTTATTTGATTCAGGCACAAGATTACTTTGGAATGGTGGAAAAAGATAATTTAAAGAAACTATTACAATCTGATTTTTTTAAGGAAATAATTGTTACAAGAAAGCGAGCGAGTGTGGTTATGGGAACAAAAAATTGAAATTATGTCAGCACAAACAAAAATAAAACCCCTAGAATTGTCCAGATCCGAAAGTTAATGAGTGTAGACTTTGAAGGAGTGGGATGAGGATGTCTGGGGAGAGTCTGATGAAAGCAGTTTGGAGGAAATAGAGGAACTGGAGGAAAGAAATGTGCGACCTCTCATCAAAACAGAAAGGCACACGGGTCTGCAAGGCGGGAACCCCCAAACCCCCGTTCGCATGATCCCCTGGGCAGGACCCGACCGTGGCGAACTCCCAAGTTTTCCTGTGAGCTGGGTGAAAGTGAAACCAAGTATCTGTGGAGTTTCTTTAACCGAGGGGAATCAAATCCTACTGAGTGATGACAGGGTGGGGGGATCTGGGGTCCTGGAATGTTTTTAAGTGATGTTAAGTCGATAACATCTCGAGTGGCTTACTGGGCTGGGGGTGTGGACCCTAAGGAGAGGGGGGGAACTGTTACTATTGAGGTGAAGGGATTACCAGAATTGCTGGAGTGAGTGCAAAAGGCTGCTTGCGTTCAGACGATGTGAGAGGGGGTGGCATGGGAGAGTGACTGCCGTGCTGGTGGACCCCAGCCACCTTAGACCTCTTATCAGAGGGCTCCCTGGTGCTTTAAAGATCCACGTCCAGTCCCTCCTGCACCGAGGCAGGCCAGGTCGACCTTATGATCCGGTAAGGATTGACCTCTGTTGGCATCGGGGGCACCCCGAGCAATGTTACAGGGGCAACACACCCACCACACCCAGGAGTTGGTGGCATTGGTGGAGGGGAAAAGCCAAGAGCAAAGGGAAATGCAGGCAATGGCACTCCCTCAGGAACAGAAATTTAACCCTTCTGTGGCATCAAGAGGGGAACTGAAAGAGTCAAAAACCTAGAAGCCATACTTTGGGGGTCGGGCCCCCCACTCCACATGGTGAGTTCCTACCAACGGTCCACTGACAAGGAGCCCTATATTCAGAATTTTTAATTGATACAGGGGCCCAAATTAGCATCTTATCAAGCCACTGAGTTAGGACTGAAATCACTGAGAAAGACTGTAAATCCAATAGGTGTGACAAGGGCAGTAGAAAAATGTCCCATAGTGCGAACGCAGTTTTGGTCACCAGAGGGAAAGTGGATGACAGCTGTGGAGGTGGCTTAAGCCCTTGCAAGGGAAATATATTAGGGTTTGGCAGGCTGGCAGGTAAGCAATGGTATTGCCAGACAGCAGAGTGTAGAGTGTTAGAGGTAGATGGACAGGGGTGACTCATGTAAGAATTTTGCAGGTTGCTTCTTTACTACCGCAATCTAAAGTAACCCGTGTCTCTCAATATCCATTGCTAACAACTGCCAAATGGGGTATTTTAGAGGCAATTAATGATCTTTAGAAACAGAGAGATTTTAAGTCGCACACATTCCCTGTATAATTCTCCAGTTTGGCCAGTCCATAGCCCAGACAGCTGGTGGTGGCTAATGATTGACTATCAGAGACTGAACAGTCACACCCCACATTTAACAGCTGCTGTCCCAACACAGTGGGGGAACAACACAGGAATAGTGACAGCAACACAGGCAGCCACTCACCCATGGATGGCTGCTTTAAATGTTAAAGGTATGCTTTTTATGGTTCCCCTAAGGGACAAGGATAAGCCCCAGTTTGCCTGTACTTGGGAAGGAGGGACACAATACGCCTTTAATTAATTCCTACAAGGATATTAACATTCCCCCACTATCGCTCATAATGCTTTGGCCAAACTTCTTAACAAGTGGAGGTGTCGTCCATATGTATTTGTATTTAAATGATATTTTAGTTGGTGGAGATACTCAAGAACAGGTAGGGCAAGTGGCTGAAATCTTCTGGGACCCATTAACTAAGAACAAGCCAGATATTCCACCCTCTAAACGTCAAGGTCCTGGGCAAGAAATCAAATTTTTAGGAGTTTGGTGGGTGGCTGGAGCAGCTGCAGTACCTGATGATACTCTGTTGGCTACCAGAAAAGGGGCAAACTCCAGGTAATAAGGCAGAATTACAGCAGCTGCTAGGTACACTGGGTTATTCTATACCGGGGTTTTCAGTGATTGCTCATGATCTGCTTCAAAAAAATAGAGTGGGAGTGGACTTCACAGCATACAGAGGCCCTGAATATTTTAAAGGATGAACTTAAGACCTATCAGAGTTTGGGGCCCTTGCACCCACAGGCTCTGCTAAGAGTGGAGCAGGGATCTGCAGAACATGCATGCTAGTGTGGTGTGTTTCAAAAGGGACCACAGGGACCAGCTGGATCTTTGCTATTTTCTTCCATTTCATTGAAGGAAACTGAGCAGTGGTATGTGGAGTGGGAGAAGAGACTCCTCTCACTTACTACAGCAGTTAAGGAGGCAGAGAGGTTACATACCATGCACAATGTTGTAGTGCAAGGCCCTTTTCTTCTTTTAAATTAAATTCTTAAGGGGTCACACTCCCCAAAAGGGGTAGCCCAGAAAGCCATGGTACAGAAGTAGTATGGTTCTTTAGAGGGAGTTACTTAGTTACTGCAATTAAGAAAGCCCAAACATCCTATAAATGCAGATTTGATTTTGTTAGGCCAACCCTATAAACTTCCCTGATTATGGAGGCACCCAAATTGACGACAGGTTCAGATACACAAGGAGTGACTGTCAAGTGGGATTAAAATGTCAATGTAAAGCAGCAGCAATGGCAATTAGTATCAGTAAAACAGTTAGAGGGGAGAGGGAAGGTAGTGCACAAGTTGGGGAACTGCACGCCCTCGTGCTGGCAGCAGAGAATGGCACCACTGTGGTTTATACTGGCTCCTATGCAGCTTATAAGGGTGCTACAGAGTAGATATGCCAGTGGGAATGTCATCAGTGGGAAGCGGGCTCTACAAAGGTTTGGAGAGCCAAGGACTGTCAATAATTGTTAGGAACAGGTAGATCACAATCCCTAAAAGGTGGGGTGGGTAAAGGGCCATGCAAGAAATGGGACCCCTGCTGTGAGATGGAATCAATGGTAAGATCACTTGGCCCAAATTAGTCGACAGTGATAAAGAAGATTGGGTTTGGTTGGCTGAGTGGCTACATATTAAGTGAGGTCACTCAGGGAAAATAGATTCTCTTACGAGTGTTGGTCCTGGGGATGGCCTGTGTCTATGAAAACATGTGAAGCAGTTCTATGGCTTGTCCACAATGCTGAATGAGGCTTAAGGCTAACCATCCAAATCAAGCCTTGGCCCAGCATGTTGAACAAGGTAAGGCAGTCTGGAGCTCCTGGCAAACTTTTTATATTGTTCCTTTGAAGCTCCCTCATGGGAGGAGATACATTCTGGCAGGAGTAGAGGCAGTGTCAGGGTTATCTATGGCTACAGGTGCTAGCACAGCTACCAGAGACCAAACAGTCCGAGTTCTGCAAGGATGGTTTAGTATCTTGCTCATCCCTCAATGTATTCAAAATGACAATGAAAACCACATTGCATGGCCACGGTGGTGCAAGACTGGGCAGAAGAAGGTATTAACTGGGTGTTTCATACACCATATTATCCTCAGGCCAATGGCATAATCAAGAGAACTGCTGGCTTGATTAAGAGAGATGCCAATGTCTCTGTCTCACAATGTAACTAGGACACACTATTATCACAAGCAATTTTTATTGTTAATAATTGCTGGGGAAATTATGGAAAACCAAAGATATGAGCATTTTGCCCTATGGGGCTATTGGCTGGTGATACTCCTATATTTAACAATCACAAAGACCAGCTCCTGTTGAAAATATACGTAGGGCAAGCTGTCATGGTAAAGTTACCTTCAACTGGCATTGTCCCTATGACCTTAGTAAAACCTAGAGGTTTACAATGCCTGGAAGGTCCTAGATAAAGGTGAAAGAACTGACTGTATTAGTGTCCAATGGGTAATTGGTGACTTTTGATGCCCGGGCTTTAATCTGAGGCCTAGTTCTGTTTTACTTTCAGGATCTTGGAAAAACAGATGGCTTCAGCACCCCTATTGGCACTGGTGATGGTGACCCATACGGACAATCAGAACTTGGATGACAACACAGTGGTGAATGAATTTTGTGAACTTGGCATCTTTTAGAAGAATGTGATTGAACTTGGTGCTATTAAGGGAAGAAGGTGTATCTATGTCCCAAATGTGTTAGTGTCACTTCAGGTCATCAAATGAAGAAAGTGGCAAGAGAGTCAATCGTTGCTGTATTAACTGGTTGGTTGGATATGTTTGAATTTTCCTTGTTAGGACAATTAGTTTCCTTCAATTTTTATAATGATTGTAGTTATGTTTATTATGGTTTGTATTAGTTATATTAGAGTAATATTAGGTTATATTAGTGTTTAAGTAGTGAAGTCTGTCTTAATAGTAGAGCGCATCTTTTAGAATTTGTTCGTGTAATCACCAAGCAATGACAAACCACAACGAGCATTAAAACTCACTGGGACTGCACTCCTGTTTAACCTTGGAGGCGAGAGTTCACTGTGCCACCACTCCAAGGAGACCAGCAGAACGATGACTGTGGCCACAAGGTGGATCCACAGGTCCATCCACCCCGACCCAGAGGGGGATTCCTGATGTTGAGGTGCAGTGGCTGCTTATTCTTTTTTTTTCATGCCCTTTTTCTCAGGGTTTTACAGTAATTGGGGCCAGTAAGGGCTGATGATAACCACAGATCAGACTCCTCTTGGGTATAAATAAGTCTCCTGGGGGAGCCATTTTGAGCATCCCCCATGGAGCAGCATGGCTGCAGTTGAGGACTCTCCCCTTGGGTCAGGACACCACCCAATGAAACTTCTTGAGGTTTGCCTCCTGGGTTAGGATGCCGCCCAAAGAAATTCCTCGAGGCTGAGAGCCCTCACTTTTTAGGTGAGTGATGAAGTATTTTGGATTGTCATTAAATCCTAAGAGTTTGTGCAGTAACAGTTTTTTCTTCTCAAGGACATTTTTGAGTAACTGCTGGAGTGCCAACTGATTGCATTAAAATAATTTTTATTTTAACTATTTTCTGCTTATCTTGGGACCCTCTACAACAGCTACACTACCACTGAGCTAATGAGAAACTTACTGCATACAGACTCATAACCTTCCCCTAAATGAGAGGGAATCCACCCATTACCTGTTTTTTTTCCTTTTCAATCTAGATGAGAGAACAGCAGCAATAGTTACAGATTTTGCTGAAGTTTTAAGTAACTCATTAAACTGGTCATAAAACAATAATTAATTAAAACAGTAGATTAGTCCAACAGTTATTTTCAAACCAACAGTTTTCAGAGACCTCATGCAAAAATCTGTCAACTAAAGAAAAGTGACATATAATATGCAGAATTTAACCACAAAAAGGTGACATATGGCAACCCATCCAAATGCCACACCCATTTTTATATCTTACCAAAATATTCTGAGATGTAGTCTAGGTCACTTTTAAGGGATGAATTCAGGAAGCTTGGCATACTTTTTTCATCTTGTTTTTTAAATTGAATTCGTGGTTTAAAAATACACATATATAACATGAAGACCTAACTCATGTTACTGCTATCATACCGTAAAAGTTTAACATACACTTTAATATGCAGTTATATGGTAACTGCAGTTCCCTTTAAAATTACAGTATCTAGAATGCATGCAGTGACACATTTGGTAACACATAACTGAAATTCAACCTAATATTTTTTAAAGCAAAAAATAATTTCAATCTGTGGTCAAAACCATATGACAAGCTATATATATAAATTTTTGTTTTAAAACTAATTTTAAAGATTCATATTTTTGGCCAAGATTTCTAATTCCCATAGCTATAAAATCTACTTGAGCTTCTTATATCTAAAGAAGCACTAAATGAATAAAGTCTAAGATGGTATTTCATGGTTTTAATTCCATATGGCAGACCAGTAATCTTTGGTTTCTATACATGCATAAGAAAAATTTAATCAGTTGGAAGCATTTAAAATTGTGTGGGAGCTGATGCATTTTTGAGCTAGTTAATATGTGTAAAGAATTTTCACTTACACTATTGCTATGTACCTTCCAGTAAAGATTTTTTTAACTACTTACCCCAAGTTCATCCAAGAACATGATCATGCGATGTTTGTTGCTCTTGATGAATGGGTTTACCCCTTCCATATATGGCTCCTGGTAATTTTTAAAAGTGCATTAGAACAAATTAATGCCAAGATAACTGTCATACCTGAAGTGAACACAGTGCAGACAAACAAACTACATTGCAAAGCAAGAATGTAATTTGGAGTGATTTTATTTTTTTCAAGTGAGTTTCTTCTACTCAGAAGACTGAGAATCTCCAATTCAGAAATTTTCTTATGCATGGCATGAATTTGCATTAAGATGACTGTCTCTCAGTACCTAGCTGCAGTGCACAAATGCTCTACGTTCAAAGGTATGATCAGTTAAAAGTTCCCTCTTTCTTGCTCTTTCATTAACGCTTACATTCCAAGTTAGGTGCGTCAGAGAAATAACTTTACAATGCCAGCCCGAAGTCACTTTCATTATGCTTAAGTCAACAGATTTGTTTTTCAACCATGTTTCAGCCTGGGAACCGAAACAGACTAGTTGTTGTTGGCATTCTCCTAGTGTTATAATAGAAACTTTATTGAAAGCTGGGGCTTTTTAGTGCAATATGTACACTTGATTTACAACATTAATTATGTCTAGCAATATGAAAGTGAGTACAAATAGAAGGGGTGCTTTGAAGTGCTCTACCACAGAAAACTCCAATCTAAGCAGTAAGTAATGCAGAGTGAAAGTAAGTGAGGGGGAAGAGTTAGCAGTTCTTCGTTTGTTTCAAAATTGGATAATCTATACCAAGGTGGGAATTTAGGCCTGATTACTCTCAATCTGAAACTTCATTACTATGCAGATAGAACATGTGTGTGGAATGCATTTCAAGGTTGTGTACAGAAGCACGCCAATACTACTGAACTATGTATGTCTTCCCTTTGACGTGAAATAATCAATGGAAATGCAAAAAACCCTCCCATCATCTATTTAGGGCAGAATATTTATCCTTCTGATTCTTTCCCATCACAAACTCCTGATACAGCAATTCTCAGTTGCCTTTTTGATACGGATATTCCAAAAGAAGATGTGCCTGTTTTACCATCGTGGACACTTGTTGTGGTAGGATGGCTGCCTGCCTTTTCCCCGCCACTTCTCCCCTCTAAAGCAGGAACTACTGGAGTGTGATTGCTACCTTTTCTGTTGCAAACAGAAAAAAAGAATGCTTCAGATACTGCCAATGCTGTCTTTCGAACAAATGCCTGGTGAGTTTATCTCTGTTCTCACAGCATCAATCTATGGTTACATCACACTCTGTAATACCTATAACCTACTGGTATGGTCATTTGTTCATCAGTTATTTTAACAGACCACTGCTGGTGTTCCTACTGCCAGACTGAACATCTTCATGGGATGTACCAAGTCATTAATGTGAATTTCTAGATCACTTCCTCTCAAACAGTTCTGGCTCCTCTTCCCAGTTTGACCAGACTTTATGCTACTGCTCTAGTTCAGATCAACACCCTGTTTAGCTCTAAACAAAGAAGACAGAAGAAATTGCAGTAATGAGGCTTCCTTGCTGATGAGGACAAACAGATCATGTGTCAGTCTTTGCACAAGAAATCAGCAACATATTTTTGCATGTATTACACAGGAACATTGAAATGTACTGGAAACACAGTTCTAGGATGTTCTGTATGTGTAAAATTATATTCACCTTAGCTCCAAATTCAACCAGATTTGCTAAATTCTGCACAGACTTGGCGACCAGCGTCAGCGTTCTTGCAGCAGTGGGGGAAGGAGAATCTGGCAGGAATATGAAGTAGAGAGTTACTGGCCATTCCATTTAAAACTAACAGCAGTCACATGAAGTAAACCACTTCTCCAATTCATATTTTTTTATGAAATAAAGCATTTTTAATTTTATAGTAGAACTGCATGTGGAAGATGTCACTTGGTGAAGTAAAACTTCTGTTGCTTTAGTAATGTCCACAAAAATTAAATTAATATGAACATCTGATTTTCTGTAATTGTTACATATAGAACAATTACACAAAATAAAGTGGTGTTAGTACGAGCTAGGTGAAGCAAGAACTACTTTCACAAAAAAAAGCAAGTTTACCTTTTTCCTTATTTGTGTATACCCACTTAAGTGGGCTCTGACAAGTTATACACATTATACTTTAAGTTACTGGCATCAGGAAAACAGAGTAAACATTATATGCAATTGGGGCTTCTATTTCCCTGAAATTATAGTCACTTGCTGTACTTAATTAACATTGCACTTAACACTTTACATTAACCACTTAGTTAAAACTCCCTTTTCCAACAAGTGATATTACCCAGTAGGATCGTACAAAATTATTTTTCCCTCTAGTTACAGTAAATGTCCTGGTTGAAAGGCAGGTTTGAAGCATTCCCAAATTGACACATTTATTATATAAGCTCTAAATTTTATAATTCTTCATAAGAACACTATATGCTCTTGGCTACCTGCATCTTCTGTTGTTCGTTCTTCCCCTCTCCCTCCAAAATCCATTGAAAAATAAGTTGTAATTTTTCTTGCATAGCTGGAGCTACACAACTCATGTCAGTTATTCATTGTATCTAGTGCTTGGTACAATACAAGCCTTTGAAGCAGCAGTGCTGGAAAACATTACTAGCCTTCGAATCTGGAACTTCAGGTTGGGAGAACTGATCTAAGAAAGTGAATTATGTCAAAAAACCCTCAAAGATACTTGAAGCAATGGATTTAACTTCTGAAACAACAATTTCTTTTTCAGTCACAGTTGTCAAGGTGATAGGACTTCTGCTGATACTGAGCTGTACCTATACACCCTACCTTCACCCTACTTTTTTCCCTATTACAGGAAGAAGGCACGTTGGAAGCTTTGGTCCAAAGGGACTGCCTCATCCCTTTTTTTGAACAGCTCTAAAATGCCTACACAGAGTCTGAAAATTTACTGTAGCAGTAGTCAAGAACTGGAGGTACAGGAGAGCAAGACTTTTACAGGCAAGCTTAAAATGAATTACTCAAATTTACAGGTAACTTTTTACACCTGCAGCCACAGTGCAACCCAAGTTAAGAGGTACCCAACTTGCAAATTATTTGAAGATAATAAAATCCTAAAGAAAGGATCACTGTGTACCAGGCCACATTTCTCAAATGCTTTCTCCAAAGCATGTATGAAAGTGATTACTGGGTGAGAGAAAGGAACTTTCTGTTCGACACAGCCCTTCTCATTTAGTATAGCTTAAAGAGACACAATAGAAAACATGCTATATTGCCTTAAAAACTGTCTATGAATAAAGAAAAAAAGTATTTTCCAAATCAGATTTCTGATTTCCTCATATCCCCAAATCAGCATTTTACTGGTAAAAATCAAGAAAGTGGAAGGGAGGGAACGAGAAAGAGCAATGGCTAGCGTGAACTAAGTGCCCTCAGCTTGGGGTGATCTTTGCCAAGAAAAAAACCCCAGAAAACAAAGATGAAATATAGTATGTGCAAACTTTTAAAACTAAACAACTCAGATGTCCAACAGTAATAGTTTCCAGTACTTCATTCCTCTTTTCCTCTCACAAAAGTTAAGTTAAAATTGCCCACAAACACTTCTGGGTGCTTAAGGCAATTGCTATGGCCTCACCATTAAAGCTTCACAACAGGAAAGCCCCATGCCAACAGCGGGTCAGGTGTGGGGTCCCTGATGTGTGCCAACATTCCAATCGCCCCTACGAGCCATTTGGGAGAATGCTACCCAATACCAGCCAGTGCTGTGCCATGGGCCAGCAGCTCTGCAACCCTGGTCTTGCCAATGCAAACGTTCCCTGTTGCTGTTTTAGTTAACTACTACAGATGCACCCTACCAAGTGCACCTCCAAAGAACAGGGTAAGACTTTATGTGGTGAGAACATTCACTTAGGCAAGCCCATGGGAACTCTCCTATATATGGCCTGTAAGTCAACCAAGACTACCAGCTCAAGTCTGCACAGCTCACCCTTTCTAAATGCCACCCCTCACCCCTCTCAATCTCATCTTTTAAGACTCTGTATTTGAGATTGACTGTACTTAACGAGTCAAAGTAAAGACTTCTCCAAAGGTTGGAAGCTAGCTACGCAGGACGTTCAAACAAGTTACTCAAGAATAATTTTCTAGGTACACAAATGTATTCCAAGCTCTGCAGATTCATTTTCAGCTTTATAAATCTTGTTCATTTAAGAGATACCATTGAATTCAGCCATTAACTTCAGCATTGCATTGTATTTAAAGCGATATCTGAAGATCACACACATTTTTCACACTGCTACCATATATTCCACATTGCTAGACTTTAACTCAAAATTGTGTTATTAAATACCACAATGCATGCTTTTCTGGACTTTAAAATGTTATTGGGGATAAGTACAATCTAACCCTTAAGGGTTTTCACCCTTATGCATGTTGGCTGCCTTATGGAAAAGTCAGACAAGTGACATGGATAACATAACTCTAGATGCAGTGTTCAAAAAAATTTCTTATTTTGCTATATTAGACACTACAGTAATTTAATGCGTACTACTGTATAAAGTATGAGTTCAATCCAAAGCATATAGTCACCTGAGATGATATTAAACATCCTTGGGTTCAGGATAGCAGGACAAATCAGTCGAAGAAAAACAAAGCCACTGAAATGGGAAGAAAATTGTATTTTGACCAGTTCAATTAGAGAATTAATGTAAAATTGTGTAGTCTTTACGGATTCAAGTTAGCGTGGAATCTTTTTGAGATAGACACCAACCAACCAGCATGCACTCTGTGAATACATTAACAAATTAAGAATATCATGCCATGACTTCAACTCTGATAACAGCTGAAAGAATAGGCAAATCGATTTCCCAATTAAGGTGAACTGTTGAAACCATGTGGGAAGAACTTAATTGTGGAGTTTTACTGAAGCCAATCTCAGACCACGCCAGCTTCAAAGAGGAGCTGACCCTGGTCTCTGACCTCCCAAAGGTTCTCCATTGTCTGCTACCGCAAGGCACCCATCCTTGCAGCCACCCATTCCCCAAGGCCAGTGTGAGGAGTTCAGGAGCAGGGGGGCAGAGGGAACCTCTCTTCTGGCAGCACCACAGCCTTTGGTCAGCTTACACCAATCCATATCCCGGTGACAGTATGCTACACTGGAAAAATAATAAGGGATCTGCTACTTTCCTCCACAAAGTAATTGTTGCCATCTAGAAAGCTAGGGAAAGAGTGCTCTGTTTTGACTGCAGAATTAGAGGAACTCATTCAACAGAAACCCAGAATAGCCTTCAATAGCATGAGAAAAATGCAACTTCTTGTTAACAGCAGAAGTAAAAACATCCACCTGAGGTTAACCTCAATTCTGGCTAATTGCTACAGAGTGAAGTGGCATATGGACCAACTAAAACAATCAAAATCATCATTAATGTTTTTTGGAATGGCTGGACACTACTGGCAGGATGGTTTTCACTACAATACCACCAAAGCCTGACCACTTATAAAAGAAGGAGGGGGCCTTACACTATCTTGCCTGTGGACAAGTACAGAGTGATGGTGAAGTCCATATTAACTGAAAACAACACACACAGTAGTGAGGTTAACACATCTTGTACATAGCCAGGACATCTAATATATACTGTTATAGATGATTCTTACTTTGCCAAGAACCACAAATTATGGGCTGGTAAGGCAACAGTTCTTGGCTATATGTGAAACTAAAGTATGTTCTATGGTGTGAATTTAAAGCTATTTAAAGCTATGAGGAAGTAATTAATTTTGAAGTCATGGCATATACACCAATTCCTCTTTTAAAAGTGCCCAAAGTTGAAGGCCAATGAGGTATGAAACTAGCATGGACCTTGCTGATACAGAAGATCTGCTGCTTCTTACCCTGGTCAACTTGCCTAAATTAAGAATGAGTCAGTATCTACATTGGGGGTTTTATGACCAGAGAGAAATAGCAGCACCTTCTGATTGATATAGTAGAGAAGATACCTTGACATCTAAAAACTGTCCATCTGCCCCTGAATATTTAATCATTCTTGGATGAAAAATAGTTCAGTAAAATATAATAATCATCGCTGTATGAAACTCTGTACTCTAGAGAGAAATCACTAGTACCCACTTGTGAAGACTAACATCACAAGAACAAAGGATCCAATATTTATAGCATTCAGTGGAAACCTCTGGAAAACCCTGAATTCAAGTGGTGCCCACTAAGGAAGGCCACATGTTTCTCTCTGGAGCTGGGCAGGAACAGAAAGGGATATGGTATTCACTTCTGAGCTCTACAGCCTTCCAGCAGGTCAGTCTCTCAAAGTAAGAGGGGCTCTCACAGTAAGACCAGCCTCCTTTTAAAGGTAATGCCCCTGCATCGTACCCTGGATGATGTAAGGCTTCTGGTGTCAAAATGATAAACACAAGCCAAAGACAAATCCTCTGAAAGACTCCCTCCATAGGAGATTAACCTCTGCAAATCATATGACTGCCACACACCACAAAAAAAAAAAAAAAAAAAAAAGATGTGGCTCTGATACCCTTAAAACCCCTGGTAGTGTTTAGAAAAACTGTGTCAAGAGGACATCTTTGTCAAAGATTTTTGTTTGACCTGTACAGGGAGTGGAGAGTATTAGAGGAAGAACTAGCGTACTGCATTGGTTTATGAAAGTACACTGGAGTTTTTCTGGCTGGTGCCAGTTCAGAGGAACCAGGTTCAGCAATTTGCAACACTTTTGGAGGAACTCTGGAATGTGTGAACATGGTTGAGCAGAAGCAGAGAAATTAAACAAAACTGGGACAGGATGGAAACACAGATTTTCAGAAACCAACAGAATGCTTATTCAGAGTGACAAGAACCAGCAGCCCAACACCAGCAACCAGGAGCCCTCTATGATGCAGAAAACTACCTATCCCAACACAGAGTAGATAGAGTACCTCAGCAAAATCTAATGACAGTCCAATTGTCTTTATGAGGTGTTAGACTCCTTACAGTGTTGGGTCTGCTTTTAAAAGGTCATCGGTCTTAAACCATGTAGGATTCCTCCAGCAATGAACACAAACTACATACGAGTCCCTGGGGTAAGGCACAGCCCTCCCAGATGGCATATGACAAGAACGTGATCCCCAGAGGTCACTTCACTCCACAGGTATCACAAAGGTTAACTATTGCTCTGAGAGAAGTTTTTCTTTTCCAGCATGAAAAAGGAAATTGCTGTTTTAGATGAGTTTGTAAAACTTGACAAAACACAAATTCAAAGTTAAAACTGTTAAGTAAAGCTATGCTGACCTCTAGGCTGTGTCATCTTATTTTGGCAAGGCTCTAAAAACATTAATAGGAATCTAGCAAGCTCATAATCCTTAATTGGGATATCATGCCTCAGCATCGTAAATATCAAATACTGCTGTAACCTATGTAAGTACTATACAGTTTTGTCATTGAAAGAAACATAGGTAAACAGACTGAGGTATGTCTTTAACCATACTTTAAAAGGTTGTTTTCAGTATAAAGTGACAAGTTACCTAACAACTCTCGTTCTCATGGTGGTATTAGCTGGCCACTTGTTTTGAACAGACTTCTGTAGGCACCCATAAATATACCTCAGTGTCCTGCAAAAATAAGAGCTAATTACTCATTCCATTAAACACAATCAAAAATGCTGGTCAGAAAGGATCTAGACCAATCTTCTACTTGATCCAGAACTATTATAAATTCTATGTTTATAACTTAGACATAATCTTTAAATCAGCTTTACCTAAGAGTAAATTTGTAAGTTAATACATTCATAAAAGTCAATTTATAAATTTGTATTAAAAAGTAAATTTATAAATGGCAAGGAAAAGCCTTAATACAAAATTCTATATGCAATTCAGTGGTTATTCAGATGTGCATTAAATGTTTTATAACTGTTTCCTGTTTCTTAAGTAGCATATTTCCTTTTAAAAAATACAATTTTGATGGTTTGACTATTATTATTTTTTAAATTTTTCTCTTCTTAAATAAACAGCAGCTATTCTTTCTATAAATGAGGGCTAGGTTTTATAAGTTAAGCAAACACAGCAGTAGTCCTCTCCCATAAAAAAATGGAAAATTGTGGTGTATTTCAGAACATTTTGAGAGCAGCATCATATACTTAAGAGGAGTACAAATTTTAATGCTAACCTTGCCAGCACTAATACAAAAGAAACACTTCTGTCCTACTTTGCCATCTCAAAATTGAGGATTTTGTATACTTTAAAAGCTAATGACACAGTGAAAGAAAACTGATAGTACTATCCACTTTTTAATAGATGATTCAAATCTAAGCTATTAAATCAAGTTATTTTAGCAATGTAAAAAGGAAGGAAAAAAAATATAAACTCTGCATTTCATTCGCAGACAGAAGTAATTATGGCATGGTATCATTCTACTGCTACCTGACTGTATTTTTAATATGCTGTTAATAATCCCATCTCTTTCTCAGAAGGGGAGGACTGGAAAGAATTTGTAATCAACTTAAATATATATAGCTCTCTGCTGACTACTACTGTCTTTGTGGAAATATGAGATTGATTATTTTTATTATTGTTCTTTATCTGACCTCTTAGGTCTAGTAGCTTCTCCTTCAAAGAAAAGCACGTATGCCAGCCAGAGACTTCTGCAAAAAGCACTATTAATTCCTGAAAGTGTTATTTTTTTACCTATCTATATTCCTCTGTGTGCATACAGCAACCCTAAAGAAATTAGTCTTATGACTGATTACCAGAAAACGAACAGGTAAGAACATCATTTAAAGGTGCAATGTAATTCACACAAACAGGAATTTTCAAATACAAATCTGAACAGAAAAGCACAAACTTACGGAGGCAGTATCTCTGCAGCCATGAATATTTTCTCCACCAATTCTGAAAGTATACTGAGTAGATGTGCCAAATTAGTGTTCACATCTTCATTTTTTTCTAACTTTGAGGGATTTAACTGAAACAAAAAAAGAAAAAGATTAAACTTCTTCTAACTAGAATTACTTATATAGTTTCATAATATTACACACTGAATACTACTTCAAAGTAAATTAAATATTCTGCTGCTGTACAAGTCTTTTACAGAACTCACAAGTCTGTTTCAACAGCTAGTCAGGAAATATGAAGATGCAATGGTTTTAAGTTCTAATGCATTAGGCTTTTAACACCTCAGATATCCACCACTAACTGCCTGCATGACCTTTTTGTCTGTCTCAATCCAAATTTCTGAGGATGTCCACCCTTTCAACAATTAAGGTAAAGTGAAATACAAAAGTTAGGAAGGTTGTTTTCAAAACAGTTTCAGGCTCAGTAACATCAGTAAGTTTTAAATTAAAATTAAAGTTCAGACATTGATTTCTATGATAACTTGAGTCTACTAGAAATTACTTATGTTACGACATTCGGTAACTGCTACCTGACAGCCTACAGTTGATAAACAATAAATGGATAATTTAAAGAAGTTTTAGTTAAAAAAAACCTTTTAAAATTCTACTATGTATACTCTTCAAAGCCAAAATACAGGGGGGGGGAAAAAAAAAAATCTCTTAATGGATTCAGTTCCTGTATTTCTCATATAAACAAATTTTAGTTGTGAGAGATTAATAAACATTTCTGAAGCTAATATTTAATGTAAACAGAAAATATAACAACCAGCAGATAACTGTGTCCACAAACCAAAATGTTTTAAAACAGTTCAAGGTATCACCTCACAGGACTGCTTGCTCTCCATTATCTTTAATATAGAGTCTTTCAGTGCGTGGTGAACAAAGCTTGTCGCTGTGGCTTTCATATACTGCTCCATCAGTGTACTTGCTAAAGTGGTGGCACGAAACAAGGTAGTAGCTTCATCTGAAAAAAAAGACAGTGAAGTGAAAAGTTGAAAAAAGGAGACAACAAAAAGCAGGGGAAAAGTGTGCTGTGTATAGTTTGATACAAGTTGTAACTAAAGGAGGAGAAAAAAGGAAGGTACCAGAGCCCTTCTCTCCCCACACACCCAGAGTTCCAGTAAACTTTAGTGTAGTGTAGTCAATACCTTCCATGCTTATCTCCCTGTCATTTAGTGTTCTTAACAACAGGGACTCAAGCTTTTCATGAAGAAAAATCTTCAATAAAATCCCAGCCAGCAGTGTTCTATCCTGTCCACAAACATGTGACAAGGCATAGACTACATGAAGTTCTTTCTGGAGTATAAGCTGAAAGAAAAACAGAATTTTGAAATATTCATAAACTTCTCCTAACATACAACAGTTTTGGAAAAACTGCTGTCATGCAACTGTAGTGATATACAGATGTCACTTTAAATACTATTTAATGATGTTAACCAGTGTTATTGACATCTGTCTGAAACAACTAAAAAAATTAGTTTTGACAGATGAACCAAGACACGTTAAACAACTCCATACCTCTTTAAACTCACTGTACTCCTCTTCTGGCATAATCTTCTCCATAGAATATCGTGCTCGAACACGCAAAGATCCTGGCTCAATACCCTTTAATGGTACATTGGAACTGAGTTGAAACCACTCATCTGTTGCATATCCTTTTTGTAATCGGCTTAATTGGCAACGCATAAACACTTAAGGGAAAAAAGCATTATTCAAGTAAGTTATTTCCAGCAAAACTGTGCTACTATTGAATAAAAAACCAGTTTGCTTTCAGCACATGTCATCTTGTTTCAGCAAGGGTATTAATAAGAGTAATCAAGATTTTTGCCACCAATACATTGACAGATTTGCTCTTCAGTGGTTTAACAGACTCCTGTAGATGGAAGAAATATAAAGCATTCTGTAAAGAATGTATATATATATATATACATTCAAGAATGCCGCACAGATATTGACACAGGGTTTTTTTGTAACACCCAAGTGGTGAGTAAAAAAGTGCTACCCTGTAAACCCAGGTAGCAGTCAGAAACTAAAAATAGATAAATTGCTCAGAATTCACCATTGGCTTTCCAGCCGTGGGCTGATACCACCATCAGGTCTACTCCTTGACCACTTTGTTACTTCTTATTATTTATTATTATAGTGCCACTATGGCTTTCCCAAGACAGGTTAAGGCTGTAACAGTTCATGTAAATTATGAAAAAAAGTGTTCCCAAGCAACCTGCTGCCTAGATAATGACAAAAGTCAACTTGAGAATGGCCAGATCATTAATTCACCTTTCACTGGTGTTGGTAGCTCAGAATTGCCAAGCAACGACCTGGACCTCAGCTGAAGTCTGGCCCCGCAGCAGGGTAGCAAGCTGCAGCAGTGGGGGCACAGGCCCACCCAGAGCGAGAACACACACTCCCAAATAGTTATTTCACGCAGAAAATAGTGCCCAGGCACTTGCAGAAGCAACACCATACCCATGAAACACCCACCACTCTCTAAGAGAGGCCCACCATTAATGTTTCACATTGAGCTGGTCAGCCTGGATCTTTCAAGCAAACATCTGCTCTTTCCATGCCTCTCTCTGAGATCTGCTTTCAATTCTTCACATTAAAAAAAAAAAAACCCACAACAAAAAACAAAATAAAAAAAAAACCAAACAAACAAACAAAAAAAAAAAAACAAAACAAAAAAAAACCCAAACAAACAAAAAAAAACCAACACAGGAGCATTGTTGTTGTTTGGGGTTTTTTTCCCCACATTTCTGCAAAGCCCATATACCACACTGCTTCACAGAAATTGTCAACAGTTCCAGCAGACTTCCCATTGCCCCAGTGCTGCAATACGTATCAGGATATTATCTGATACTGGAACAGAAAAAACATCACATATATAATGTTCACTTCAGGACATTCTTGTTGCCTAGTTCATATTGTTTGGCATTGATAAACTAATACAAGCAAACACATTCAAATCAGTCAAGTAGCACAAAAGACAATTCATCACCACCTGCTACTTATCGCCACATTGTGGCTAGAACTACGTCTTGAGACAAGATAATCAATTGACTTTCCTAGAATATTTCTTCACAATATCAAAGCTCCTGTACCCACAACTAAGAAATGTGTTTTTCTTATTTTGCCTGCACATGTCAGGCATGTATATCTCAGTGAGAGGAATGAAATACAACTCAAAGGAATAAAAGAACACTGCAAGAACATGGTCACAACTGCAATTACTGCCATTTTATCTGTCAGACGGAAAGTATCTTTTTTCCTCTTACTATGCAGAAAGTTTTCTAGTCAGAGGAAGGTGAGAGAGGTTTGAAACTGAAGTAGGTTCTGCAAGAGATTTCAAAATGAGTAGTAATTCTACTTTGGTCAAGGTTTCCTTACAAATCTCAAAAAAAAAACCCCAAATAATATAATCAAGAAATCAGCACTGAGGAATACATAACAAGCCAGTAACACAATTATAAGCAAACAGAAAATAACTGCAATGGATTATAAATACGCTGACAGGCTTTGCAACAGACAGCTCTGAACACAATGGAAAAGCAAAAATTTGAAGGGGGGCAGGGAGGACGTCCTGCCCTGCAGGGGGTTAAAGTTGCTCCAGAACAAGTATGGTAGGAAACAAGGTACCTTGAATAAGAGATAAGAAAAAAAAACATAAAAACACATTGGGTGGTAAGAGAATGAGGAAAAAAAAAAAGAAAAATCCAGTTTTTTTTCTATTTAAGAGCTTAGAAGCCATGTTCTTCAAACCCCTCCTTTTCTACAAAGCCGATAGATCTTACCAGCCTGTTGTTAAATTTGCTGGAACACAAACAAAACCACATTTGAAGAAGCAGCTGTCTGAGTAACATGAGGAAAATAAATTCTTGGGAACTGCTGTGGAAGGCAGAAGAAAATATGGATCCTTTCCCATTCAAAGTGATACTTTGAATACAAAAGTAACTTCAGGTTACTTGAGGCCCAAGAGTAGTACAAGAAGAGTAGACAGACGAGGTAAAATGGAAAGAAAACAAGACAAATTTTGTTCAGAGGCCACTAAATGATTATTTTATATTTTTTTTTTTTTTTTTGTGATGAAGTACTACACCTTTCCTGCCTTTCTCCTTCTCACTGGAAGTAGCAAAAAACCCCCCCAAAAATACCATGCAATCAGACTTAAAATTCCATGGCACTGAGCATTTTATGGAGCAGACTAACATGGACAGCTTCTCTTTCCCCTTATTTTTTGGTAAGCACAGGCATTGTATAACACAATGGCTACGCTATAGCAAAGCTAAGAAAGCCATCGGATACACAGGACTGGATTACTGTGCATTTTATTACTAAAAACCATGCAGGTTCTCATAAAAACATTGATGGAAAGCCAGTACCAGCACAACGGAAACATACAAACACAGCAGTATGGTGAACACAAGAATATACATAATTCTCTTGAGAAAAAGTTTGACAATAGTAATGAAAACCACACAAAGTATGTGTTGCTGAAATATATATATGCATCTTTTACAGCAAAAAAATACTTACATATATCTGGATCTTTACTTTTCTTTGTTTTGTTACTAAGACTTATCTCAAATCTATTAATATCAGATGAAAGATCACTAGGAGAAAAGACAGAAAGCCTCAATTAATACTACATTTGGCTGGCATTTAAGCTTATTCTAAACTCATTTAAATCCTGAGTCCTCATTATCAGCCAAAGACACAAAGATATTTAGGTGTTTCTGTCCATGCAGAATTTGGCTGAAAGGTTGATGCTGTGTAAGCACACATACAGTATTTTTAAAAAGCATATGCAAAACAGTACACAGTGTTAAGAAGCTTAAATGCAATGCAACTTACAAGAGAAATTCAGTAATTCAAGAAGATTAGGACTTACTCAAAGACAAATTCTTCTGACCACACAGGGTTCTGTCCTTCCCTGATGTGTGTTTTTGCTACCTGGACACTGTTCAGGTAGATGTTACAATACGGATTAGTAAAATGCTTTACTGGGAGTGTATGAGCTTCTTCTACATGCAAAATAAGACTGCTGACCTAAAAAAAAAAAAAAACAAACACACACACATAAAATTTACTTTTTGTCACTAAAATAGAAACACAAAACACATAAATGAATTATTCTTTATCCTCTGTGAGGAAGAGTCTTAATGTTCATATATGAATATTGAATACAAACTAAAATTTCTTAAAAAGAAGAGCAAGGAACAGAAGTAATGGAACATTTTAAGAGGCAACAGTAACAAAATAAGAGTAACTCAAATAATTACTGAATGAATCTCCAGCCCTGTGTTTTTAAGGCATCTTGTTTTCTTTAAAATTATCTTTGAGGCATTAGGATTTGCAAATACTAGCTTTTCTATGCACAGAAAATTTTACTGAAATAGAAGACTAGCACCTTGAATAAGAGCCATGGACAACTCCAAACACAATGGCTTATTTGGCACTTTCCTAACAAATTCCATAAAATTTCCTTGTGTAACACATTATATCCTATTCCTTTATGTAGACAAGCATTTTCTTGCTTTTTGAAGTAAAGAATTGTTTCAGATTGTCATTCTTTTTGCTTTGCTTTTGCAGCTTGAAGTCCCCAATTTCACCTGCCACTTTATCTGTGAAGTCACCTAATTTAGTTAATTTATTCAGAAGTATCCAAACATCTTTATAATGTTAACTACAGAATAGTTGTGTATCCTGAAAACATCCTATTTTATTCCTTTCTCCATTGTCTGCTAAATCAACTACAGTCAGTGTTCCTAACATTCAAAATTATCAGGGATTCCTGAAGTATTTTCCTATTATTCTCAAATTATTACAGACTTACCCACTTATGACTATCTGTTCTCAAACTCTGAAGAAATTCTGGCAAACACAGCACTTTCAAGAGGTCAAGAGGAATTAAGCCACAAGCATGATTCAGCATGTATTTGTTAGTGAAAATTAACAGTATTAGTTAAACGAGTATTTTGCTTACAATGTCACACAAGTCTGTCAAATTTCTAAAGTTTCCCATATGTGGTAAATTTTAAAAGTTAAGATGATATAAACGCTGACTTCTTTACACTTTTACTCAAATACAGTTAAAAAAATAACACCTAGCAAAGCACATGCAGATTGCCTAAAGCCATTTTGCTTTTTATGTATGTAGATATTGTAACAATGTGCAAGTCATTCTGGTTGGTTTCACAAGGGTACTGTGTAACTCTAAAAAGGAACATAAGCATATGCATGATTTACTATTGTTGAAAGGAAAATTCTGAGATTTATCAGTATCATTTTGCAATGAGGAAACAAGCACTCCTCCACATGCACTGCTAACCCCATAATATCAGCTTCACCTGACGTAGACGTTTATTTGATGTTCCTGGACTGGTTTTTCTTAAACTGCAAAACATCTGCAGAGCTTTCATCCAGTCCTAAGAGAGAAGGATGCAGAATAGTGTAATAAAACAGTCTGATACAGCTCCTTGTAGTAGAACAATCACATTTTAAAAGATTATTTAAAGTCTTCCCTTTAGCTTGGCAAAACCTAAGTTTTCTGTAAATCCAAAGTATGAAAGTTTGATTATTAAAACAAAATGCTTATCTTTACTGAGCAAAACCTAATAAAGGATTTGTAAATCTGAACCATTTTGTCTTTTAGAAATATCAGGCATTACTAATGCATATGCAGTGTGAAATTTACCGATTTTTCCAGTCTAGTAATATTACATGAACTTACAAATGGTATATAGAATGAAGCAAACCTTGTTTGCTTCTGAGAAAATTACAGTTAAGCCAAACTGTTGTGATTTTTCTATCTAGTACTTTTGTATGGCAGTCATAATACTGTGTATAAGTCAAACAAAAACTAAAACATTAACAGAGAAACATAGAGCGTATATCCATCATTCCCCATTTTGCTCAAAAATGCTTACAGAAGAGTGGATGGATAGATTCCATTTTTACCAAGGAAATAAACAGGTTGTCTAACACCAAACTGACTGTAGAACCTTTGTGCATATTTTTTTTTTTTAAAAACAAATAAGCTAAGATGCACTGCCAACTTGCCAGTCCACCTCTGAAAAAAATGACTGCAGCAGGAGAAAGCTGCTAACAGAGGAGCTTTGCCAGGGGCCTTTGGAAGATACGTTATAATCTGATTCTCAAGTTTTTGTCCTTCAACCACCAAATTTTGTATAACTCCTGCAAAGCACAAATTAGGTTTTGACCAGAAACCTTCTTAAATCTGTATCTCAAAGATCCACCATCTATTCTCAAAGTACAATTTAAAAATGTCATTAAAAAAACCACAACACTGTTTCAATCTTACTCTTCACAGTATCTTCCACATTTTAAAAATACAGGAACATGTACTGCAGCTATTCTCAGCTAGAATACTTTGCAAGTCAGGTTTCAGCTTTCAAAACCTCTCACAGAAGGAAAAGCTTTCAGCTATGCACCACAGTTTCAGTAGCTTGTTTCCTTATTCTCAGAAGTAGCAATCAAAAGAAACAAATGACTCCTAAATACTCTAACAAAAATATTTCCTGGATGCATAGTATGCCTCTATACCCACTCATTGCAGGAAAACCTTTCCCCTTAAATGCCAAAGCTTACAGCAGTGAGCACGAACGATGTGCCACAGCAAGCACAGTGACACTAGCATGTAAGGCTCCATTTTACATTTGCTTTTGTTTTGTACAAAACCATAAAGACAACATAAAATCCATAGGATGGTGCTGCTTTGATATTTATCTACCACATTATAAGAACCTTAATATTCAGATAAAGCTATTCTTCTATAAAATGTTAGGGTAAGAAAGCTGAACTTTCTCAAAAGAGAAATATCTATAATCTTCCCTAGTCCAAAGCCACATTATTAAAAAAAAAAAAAAACAAACTCAATTCTGTATAAATGCAGTGAACAGCCTGTTAAGCAGATCAAAACCAAAAGCGGATTATAGCAAATGTTCAGGGAACAAGACAGGATATTCTGTCTTCTACACATTCTTAATTCTTTTAATTTCTAGGACACAAAAGACATTGCAGATATAACAAAAATTAATGTACAGTAATGAATGTGGAAATTAATGTGTATATTCTCAATTACTATATAGCATGCTGCTTCTCAAAAACATTAAGAATTTTATCACGAATGCTACTACATCATTCTGATGTAATCACAGTGACTCACAAATTTCTGTTAATTTAACAGGAAAATTTGTGCTTTCCTTTATATACAGCACGAGAAGACTATTAAATTTATACAGCCTTCATGCTCTGGTACATAACAGTCTATTACAACTGCACTAAACAGATTTAATTCCATTTAAATAAAATGAAATACAAAGTTTAACTTCTGATGCAACAGGTATATTTCAGAGCTGTGGACTTTCAAAGCTGTAAACTTAATAAATAAGGGCATTATCTCATCTTTGGTAAGTCCTCCTGCCTGGGAGTGAATTTCAGAGAACTATGCTCCTATCCCACAATTCTTAATCAGCAAACATAACTGTTAGAGAGCTAGTAACTAAAGGATCTAAAGGATACCAACTAAAACCAGAAAACCTTACTTTTTGTGCACAATTAGGGCCCAAGACTATGAACAATCACCAGTTTACAGACAGGACAAATAACTGCAAAAGGCAGATGTTCAAGGCACTTTGGTTACTGGGTACACACACGTGCTTTAGCACTTTAGTTCATACCAGGAATATGCCTTTACAGGAAAACTCCCACTTACCATGCTTTGGTTTATAACATGGAAAAGTCCTGGAGAGTAAATTGTTCCTCTGAATTGAACTATGTCAAAAAAAAAAAAAAAAAAAAGTGTTCTCCAGAAACATACAATGGAAAATAATGGAAGTTCAGTCCATGGGACCCAACTGGAACTCATCCAAAGGAAAACCCCCAGGTAACATAGCTGCTGGGTTCTCAGCACCAACAGTTCCCCTTACAGATTCACTACTACTCCACTGCAACACCTGCTAGTATACGTAGCCACTAACCATTTGTGATACACTTGCTTCCTGTTTCAAAAGGGCAGCATCATTAAACACCACAAGACAAAACATTACTTCTTAAATTATATTTACTAACAAAAGCTCTCACCTGTGCTTGTTCTGGAGTCTCGCCTGCAAAGTAAAAGATGTAATGCTCTTCACTAAAGTGCTGAACTACTATCTGAAAACAGTTTGGCCTTAAAAATAAACAAAACAAAAAATGTAAGTTTTATTAATCTTTGTAATATTAACGGAAACCTTCATTTATTGATCTGTGCCAAAACAAAGCTTACACTGAACTAATACATTTCTGCTGTTTGTCTGTAAGGAGCATTGAACATTGTATCAGTTTTTGTTTGTATACATGTAGCATCACAACACCTGGAAAGACTCAACTCCAACTACAGATCCTTCAAAATGGCATTTGGTTTGAATGTATGATGTTAAAAAAAACCACACTTCAGCATAGCTAGTTTGTTTCAGAATATTGAGAGACTTTTAGAATAGGCAGTCAAGGCAACAAAGTAGCCACCTGGTAATGGAGAAGACATGCCAACAAAGCTTATCCTAACGACTTCAAAAGCAGTAGAGGTTTAGGCTTAGTTCCCAACCAATTAATCACACATTAAGGAGCTGTTGTCTCAGCAGCTCAGGAAACAATATTAACATAAAGAATCTCCTATCTGAATATGTTCCACGGCTCTCATGACCAATAAAAAGTGTACTGGATCACATGTTAATCATTGGATGTACATGACAAACCTCTACAACCTCAAATGCAATTATAGTGTCTTTGCCATTTTGTGTGCCTCCACTCATTTGCCAAAATGTCAGTCAAAAATGTTTCGTTTTGCCAAATTACAAGCTATTTAAAGCACACACTTTACTTAGGACTTTCCACACTGTGCTCATGGAAATTTAGCTCTCCTAAACCCAGTGTTACATGAAGGATCCTACTTCCTTTGCGAATAAGTTCCAGTCTTCAGTTCCCCCATCCGTTCACTGCCTGGAGAAATGCTGAGACAGCACTCTGTGGCCATGCCACAGGAGGGTGGGGGAGAGCAGGAAGTAGCCAGGTCTGGGGCTAATTAAATCACTGCCACCAAAGAGCCATGTAATACTGCAGACCTCACTGTACTTTTGAAAAAAGGGCCAAGGCAGTTTCTACCAGCTACTTAAAATACAGGAGAAACTTTGTCTCAGATACAGTGTGCCTCACTAGCAGCTTCCTAAGCTAGTGCAACCATGCATCTCCTCCTACCCATATTTAGGATCATTTACTATCTAATTACACTTTCATCCACAGCGCAGTGTTTCTTAAAAACTGTTTAAGAGACAGTTGATGTTATGCAAAAAATTCCTTGTTTACAATATACACCAAAGCTTTCCACATAATTGCCAATTTACATAAGGAACATTTTAGTAGGTTTTTTTTTTATTACTGTTCTGGTGCTCTTTCTATCTATGCTCCACATTCTAATTAGTTTAATGGATTTTTTTCAGAATTATGACAAACATTAAATAAAACCCACAACAGATCAAACAAAAGCACCAGTCTTTGCAGCTTAAGAAATGACGCTAATTTTAAGCATTTGTCTTGAAGTTTTTCATAAAAGTAACTAGATGTTGACTGTATATCAGTTTTTAATAAATATTAAGATCCATGGGATAACCAGAACTTCTAACTAACACTTTTAGGATTAAGTGGACTTATTTCTTCTATATGACATAATACAGGACTGTGGAGGTTTTTTGTAGCTACCAATGAAAAAATATGTACATTTTTTCCTGTTCATTACCATTGGTATCTGAAAGAATTTTGATTCCAGCTTCTTTGCCGGAATCACATTTCTTGCAGTTGACACATTTTGAGTATCAAAATATTACAGTAAATAAGATTTGATGTGAAAATTATCTCTGAATATAGTAACTGCAAAAACAATTTCTGAAGATGTTGACTTATATGAACTAGTTTACTACTAAATTGGCCTAACCTAACAAAAGTATTTGTTCTTCAATAGAAAAGCAGTTACAGACTGTCTAATCAAGTTAGCTTTCAAATACCTATCAAAAGAATGTAGATCTGGAATTGACAAAATTCTTTATGTTGTCAATTCTTGGTTCAAAGGGATTAAAAACCTCAGTTCATAATTTCTAATGTCTTTAAAATGAAACACAGAACAATTAATGCACTCATTATTCTAAAATGACAATGCAAAAAAACTCAAACCATCAACACATTTCACAGTGAAACTTTAGCACTAAATTCTAGAAGTTGTTTATGTACAGTCGCTAGAGATCAAGTTGCCATGGCTGAACAAGTTCCTATCCATCAGCTACATCTGTCGACACGTACTCTTGCAATCCACACCAACCACAGTTGTACAACAGTGCACAGTAGTGCAAGCCAGGGCTACTTGTCCTGCACATGCCTCCAACCAGCACTCAACCCTCCTGCTGCACATTTGAGACTTAAAACCCAGTGTCCTACCTGCCAAACAAACTGTCATGTACTCCATAGACGGAACACACACTAAGGTCTATTAGTCCTTTGGGTTTTGTGGCTCGTTTTTCACTTTCAAAATAAATAAGCTGGGCATCATTTCCCTCTAATATAAAGTACAAGTTTTTCCATCTCTTTCCTTTACCTGTAGGAGAGTCAAGCAAAAAGTTACAATACTGTTTAAAGGGAAGTGTAAATTTTGTAAATGAAGAAAACAAAAGTGGGCAGTAAAGTTTTTGCCAAATTGCAAACAGACGAATGATCTACAAGTAATCACACATTATACTATCAGTATATTACATACTCAACTTTATGCAACATGTGGCTAAAACTGGACCCTCTTCAGAGATGCAGGTAGAGATGCAAGTTTCTCTAAACATTTTCATTAATTTCAACAGGATTAAGCAAGTGCACATGAACTGCATGGACATGGAGTTCCAGTCAGTGTTAAAACTGTATCTACACAGTTTGTAAATAATAAATTCTGTGGATCTCATTTATTAGAATTTTAATTAAGAAACAGACTCCTGACATTAAAAAGTTACTCCTAAATTGACCAATGTTTAACAGATTGCATAACAGTATCTTAAAACAGTATGGCTGAAGAACAGAAATGGGAATATGTTATATGCAAACTTAAAACAGAACCATGCCCCAAACAGAACTGTATCTAAGAATTTGGCTGGTTCCACTTGTTTCAGAGAAAACATTCTCTGAACTACAATGGACTAGGACCTTTCTGCAACTAAATAATGCATAAGTCACAGCACCATTTAGAAAAAACTTTCAGCCTTAATTTTGTACTTTGATCAACATAAATCCACCATGGGCCTCAATAAATGAATACTAGCACTGTTTTCAAAAGACCAATCTAACATCCACTTATACTCTGTCTCCTAGATGGAAGAGTGATTTTATTGAATCTGTTCCATATGAAGCTCTATGCATCTCTACAGCTACTCAGTACTCTGGTTTGCACATTTAAAGTCTCTCATATCTCTTCTAGCTAGAGGTTTTAAATTCATTCTTATTTGATTCCTCACTCTATGACATCCCTCTGTGTCTTCTCTCAGAATCAGCCTTCTCAATAGAAGAGATGCTTTCCTTGTTCTGTTCAAAGGGTCTACAGTTTGGGTGGTTTGTTTTCTCAAATGTCCCTTTTATATTTGGCTATATGTAAAATCACACCTTTACTATCTGTAACTTACCCCTCTAGTTATGGTCTCTGTCATTTGCAGAAATTTTATTATTGATAGTTTTTTTTGCTTCCATTAACGTTCATTTTTTTAAAAAGTATAAATGTAACATTTGGCAAGGGACCAGCTTCCTCAGAACTTCAAAGACTTGCTCAGTGGCAATTCTTCAAGTTTATATTGAAATGAGTCAATCTGCTTTTAATGTATTTGTTTTATGTTATGTTAACTGTGTCAGTGTTGGAAACCTAAAAATGTCACCATATATCTTCTACAGCAGAATACATGTTTTAATTTTAGGATTTAAAACATATAACCTAACATGGAATAAAAAAAAAAGCAAGCCAGCTGTGTTCTCCAAGGAATGTACAAATTTATACTATTCTATCCCTCTCTAACCTACTCTATCAGCTAGAATTTAATGAGTTCTATATTAAATACACTTTTTATGAAAATACATTTCAGTTAATGAGTTTGAATGCAATGTTTGACAAAATGCCTAGTTTTTGTTCTGTGCTCTATTTTTTTTCAGAACAACTGTCAATTGACATTTTCACACTGCATGCAATCTTATGTACTTGTTGTTCTATTCAGGTACTACTTAAGGAAAGAGATCTTTCATACTCTTTACACACTTTCTAGAACCTTTCGCCCACTTCGATTTTGTCCTTTCTAGTACCACTTCTATACTAAATTCACAAAGTATGCATGTTCAGCTTGGACAAGAGAACGCTGAGGGGTGACCTCATCACAACCCACATATTACTTAAGTCGGGGGGCATCAAAGGGGGAGCTGCTGATCTCCTCTCTCTGGTGACCAGCAACTGGACACAAGGAAATTAAATGCAGCTGTGCCAGGCAAAGCTGAGTTTGGAAATTAGGAAAAGGTTCTTCACTGAGAGGGTGGTTGGTCCCTGGAACAGGCTCCCAAGAAAAGTGGTCATGGCACCAAGCCTGGCAGAGTTCAAGGACTGTCTGGACAATGCTCTTAGTCATATCACTTAGTTGTAGGTAGACTTGATGATCCTTATGGGTCCCTTCCAACTTGAGATATTCTATGATACATATCTGCATTTTTTTTTTTACAAAAAAAAATTTCATAGAAGTAACCATAACTCACTTTTTTTCAGAAGATAACCTTTTTTGACAATGTTTTTATAAAAAGCATCCTTTGTTTTCCGACGGATTGTATTGTAGATTTCTTTTCCATCCACTGTATCATTAAGCACTTGTTCTTGGTGCTGGTAAACATGTAAGAAAAACATATTTCAAGCTTAGAAATTGACATTAAAAAATGAAGATGAAACCAGGATCATCTTACTTAATGCTACCAACTCACTACTATTGTTCTCTCATGCGTTTTAATAAAGCAATGGATTTTTTCCATACAATACCCTTGCTAAAAATGTAATATAACTATTTCCGTATTTCCAGAATTATGACACGAGAAAAGTTTTCAGTACAGATCAACTTCTACAAAGTAATATTGTGTCTTTCTCATATTAAATAAAAAGCAACATCTTTCACTGTGATTTCTGTTAAATTTATGCAAGTCTTTAAAGATTTATCTAGCTTCTGTCTTCTACCAAAGCTTTTGAGATTGAGTAATCATGGATAAACTCTGAAGCAACAAGCATGGTGCAGATGACAGTTAAAAAGTCACTCAAAGTTGCACAGTTCCTCATTAATCTCATTAGAACTCACATGTCCTAATTGAGTAGAACTCCAGACAAGAAAATAAAGCAGAAACAGGAAACAAAAAAAAGGATAAATTCACACAGAAAATTGTAGCACCTGGAAGAGTAAATAACAAATGAGAATGGCCAAAGGCCAAGCCAAATCTGACCTTATCAAGTAAGCTGATCAGGAAAAGTTCTTTAGCCATAAGAAAACACGAGAAGCAAGACTGTCAAGCAGCAAGAACGGCACTGAGATGAAAAGTGACATATGAACTGGCTTATACTAAATATTCTACTTTTCTTCCTGCTCATATGGCGACAAGAATTATGATTTTGATCGACAGGAGAAAAGTGAGATGAAAAATACTTTGGAGATACTAGTAAGAGTTACACAACCTACAATGGCAGCAACATCCAGATATTTATGAGCTCAAGATAATCTCCATAATGTAACTATGCAAGGAACAGTGCAGAAAACAACAGATCTAGTGACGAATATTTTTAAGTAAATTTCATATTAGACACAGCCAATCAAACTGACCCCAAAAGTACGCAAGACTTTAGAAATTTTTCTTCCCTCAAAAAAACAGAGCATGGTAGTGTATGGAAGGCAGGTAACATGCGACTGAACTTAAATTTCACCACTGACCACTAAATTTTCAAACAAAGTCACAATTATATCTGAATAGGTTAAAAGAATCTGAAGTAGTCTCGCATGAAAAATTAGTCAATGAAGAGGCGATTATTAGTACAGCAACTGTAAGTGCATATGCAAAAACCTAAAATGAAGAAAATTACTGCCACGATTCAACAGGAATGACGGAGCACAAGGAAAGTTACTAGTGAACCTTTTCAAGCAGCAGTCTCAGAATTCATGTTTGCTTTTTGTCCCAACTACATTACAAGCATGAGTTAACAGCAGCAAACAACTGGGAAGCACTGATAATGCAACACAATTAGCAGAATAGTAAGATGTAAGCCTGCTAGTACAACAAGAAAGTTACACCTGTTGATAGTTATCACTAGAAAACAGAAAATGAGAAACTTGAACAGCTGAGTCATTCACAGGAGGACCGAACTATACTATAATATGGCTATGACAACATATTGGGTCTGGCAGGGATGAAGTTAACTTCCATCACAGCAGCCCCCATGGCACTGCCTTTTGGTTTTGTGACTAAAACAGTGTTGGCAACACAGCAGTGGTTTTGGCTCTTGCTGATCAGTACATGCACAGCCTCAAGAGTTTCACCATTTCCCACTCTGCCCCCCTCCTCAGGGTGGGGAAGATGCTGGGAGCAGGCAAAAGCTAGGACAGCTGACGCCAACTGGTCAAAGGGACATTCCCTGCCATAGAACATCATGGTCAGCAATAAAACCATGTGTTTGTGTGGGGGTTGTCTTCCTGGGTGATGACTCCTCAGAAACCGGCTAGGCACCAGTCTGCTTGTGGGTAGTGGTGAGTGATTGCCTTTGCAACACCACACCACCTCCACCCCCCCCCTTTTTTGCTTATTAAACTGTATTTATCTCAACACAGGAGTTCTTTTTGCTTTTGTCCCTATTCTGCAGGAGAGGGGAGTAAGCAAACAAAGGTGTGGGTCCTTAGCTGCTCGCCAGTCAATCCACCACAGAAAATGACATCTATTCTAGGATATTTCTGTGAAGTATTACCCAGAGAAAGGGATGACACAGTACTCTAAATTGTTCTAGTCTACCACATTCAAGAAAGGCGAGCTCGCACCAAAATTGCTGCCAGCAGGGCAACTAGGAGAACATTACAAAGGGAGAGGAACAGCTTTGGTATGCTTAGCTTAGTGAGCTAAGGGAAAACATGAGAAAAGTTCTCTTATTAATACAACAGATCCCACAAAGGGGCATGAATTGACCATAACTCTATTTAAGGAGGAAACTACAGGCAAATTTCTAACCATTGAAACAGGAAAGTTTGGGAACAGAGAGGGAACAAAATATACACATATGCTTTTTAACTAGCTATAAGCTTATGAAAACTCAGATGATGTGGTGTGCTTATTACTGGTAGTCTCTTAGGATGAGCTTCTGTGATGGGGCAAGAACACTCCAGAACGAGCCCTGCAATCTTCCCTGAAGCTTTTCTGGGCATACAGGTTTCTTCTGGCAGAGGAAAAACCCCAGACACAGAAGGCAGGAGGGCAGACTGACATGGGTCTAAGGCACAGCACGGTTGAGCCAGGGACCCTAGTGAAAGGCACACAGCAGAGGATAAACGCCTCAAAGGACAGGCAGAGCTTACCATATTATCTGTTGACTACAAGCCAACCTTTGGTAAGTGAATGCATTTGAGGATAAAAGAAACACACAAGCGAAAACATAAAAAATTGAGATGATGTGTAACTACCATTGGTATCTCTGATGTAATTCAATACAAACTGATTTGATGATGGTTAGGTCTGTGTCTTCAACAAAAAACTCTCAGAAATGGCATCTTACCTGCATTGGAACAGGATCTTTAAGGTAATATCCTTCAACAATCTGTTCTTTTCTATAGTGCTCAATGATGTCAGCAATACTGTTCCAATAAGAAAAAGAGGATTCAAATGTTAAACAGGTTAGTTTTTCCTCTGAGAATTTAGTTTTCCACACAACCACAGAAAACTCTCACAAAGTTTTAATAAAATCAAGTGTTAAATATCATAATCTCATTTGTAGCAAATAGAATTTACTAACATACTGAAGTCAAGAAAGTTCACAACACTGTATTTAGAATGTATTAACTCTAAACTCTACAAAATATTTTCATTAGTTACATAAAATGCCAAATGAGGACACTGCTTTTTCCACATTCAAGTAGCACATGTGCATTACCAGCTCTCCAACCAGGCTGAAAACTGCTATTTCATTGGCAATAATTTTAAAACTCCTCGAGTAACCAAGGAAGGGGAATGGGAGATATCACAAGTGCAAAGCAATTTCTTTCTGGGAGGACAGAAAGAGAGAACAGAAAGGGTTTGTAGCAGAGCCTATACAGATTGTACTTGGAAATCACCGAGCTATCCTGTTAAATTAAATACTCAATTGGTAGCACTCCTGTACAAGGATGCATTCATCCCAATCACCAGATTCAAATTGCAATTGTGTTTGGAAGGCTCAGGAGAGTAGTGCCATATACAAGCTGAAATTCAAGGCATTTGAGTTGCTCTAGCTTATTTTTGCAGTTACTGAAATTTATACTGTAATAAAGAACAGCAATGTGAACATCAATAGAAATTAATCATTTGTATGCAAAATATCAACTTAAAAACCAATTAAGTAGAAAACAAAAATATACTGAGTATGTTTTCTCACTTCATGCATACTTAGCTGTGTGTGCAAAGATAGTCAACAAGACACGCAGCAATTAAATCTTTGACCTGTTACCACTGGATACAGTTCTGTTCAACACAGGAACAGTCTCTGATGCTGTAAAAATAATCTCAAAAACTTTTAAATAAAGCTATGGCAAGACGTCTGCATTCACTTCTCTCTCCCATTCTAAACCTATGAACTAGGGCACACTTGATAAAATAAACTTCACACAAGTATTTTTTTTTCAGGTATGTAGAATGACAAATTAACCTTTCAGTATTACCAAAATAAAATAATTTATTTCAATTTTTACTGAGATGCAATCTGAATGCCATTTTCTGTATAAAAATTTAACCTTTGCCACACTACAGAGAATAATGACTCAGTCATTATATTTTGCATGTTGAATAGCTACTGCCAACATCTTGTAATAAGTAAAACTGCATTATATAATTTTCCTCATCAAATCAAGAATACCTTGACTGACAACTCCTCTCCTTCTTTAGTTAAAGACATCAGTAGGAGTTCCTTAATATAAGGAAAAGGTGCCTAATTTCTTCCAATTTTGTAAAACAGGATGAAGAATAAACTCTGTTGTATTTGAACTCCTTTTGTAGTTAGATTACAATATGGACTAGCACTTTATGCCTTGATGGAGTGACTAATGGCTCGGTTCTGCAGCCCTCTCCTCCCACAAGTGAACTCTATCCAGATGGTCACTTTTTAATAAAAAGTGACCTTACCACTATGACAGCTCAAATGCCTGAACTGAACACTACAGACAGGAAGACACTGGCAAGTACACTAGAGAATGTGTAGCTGCAAGTCATTGCAGTTATCCAATGTGCATAACATCAAATATGAAATGAGACTGACCACAAAACTTATCTATGGAACAGAAAAATGAATCATAGCCTTCTTCAATGTGTAACAGCAAAAAAAAAACCTACCGACACAAAATGCATCGAGGAAGGTATAAATAAGCATGGATTTAAAAAAAAATATTGTTAAACTTGGTTTCATGTACAGAAATAAAGATATGTCTCAATAGTACATTACAGTTGCTTTAATTTTAAAATGCTCAGTATAGGGCTTTGGCTACTTGGATGATTTTAAAAGTATTTCACCATCATGAGCAGTATCATTTTCTTGATACTTAATACAGTGGATTAAGACTTTTTCCAACAGCTGACATTTCAAATAATGAAGAATCCAGAAAGCAGAAATAAGCAACACCATACTATACACTGTTAAATTATAAAAGCAAAGAACTAACATTAAACCCATATTGTTCAGCCCATCACAGTACACAATAATTCACCAGCTGAAACAAAATCATCTTCCAGTCATCTACTAAATTTTCAAATTGTGATGTCTTAAATTCAAGATAACTGGAAAGGTTGGCCCAACCATTTAAAGAGTAAACAATGTTTCTTATCTCCTCCTCTGTCACAGAATCACCAGAAACAAAGAACCCCTAATTTTACAGGGTTTTTTGGAATGCTACCTGTTATGTAGGTTGAATTTTGGAAAGAAGGCAGACAGAGAAAAGGACAGAGAAAATGGCCTGGGATGCTTTTCCGACCACATGGTCTAAAATCAGATTTGAAACGTTAATAAATGCTATCTTACATAAAAACACTGTGAAACACATATGGAAGTTATTCACAGCATGGCTGAGCATGGAAGGCATTTCTGGAAACCACCCAGGCCAAGCCCTCTGCTCAAAGCAGGGTCAGACAGCAATGGCAGGCTGGCCCTTGTTCAGTCACACCCTGTGCATCTCCAAGGAGGGATGCCCTTCTGGGTAACTTGTTCCAGTGTTCAACCACCCTCATAGTAAAAGCCATACACCAGTGATTGCATATCTTCGGACTGAGATCTCACAACAGTTACTAAAATCATGACTGTACAAGGTCTGACTAGGATGGAGTTAATTTTCTTCACAGCAGCCCATGCAGTGCTGCTGTTTAGACATCAGACTGAAATGCTGTGTTGCTAGCACACCTTTGACTATTGCTGAGCCATACTTGCAGTGCTGAGGCTTTCCTTTTTCCCCCCATGCTGCTCCTCTGCATCTTCCCCAGAGGTAGGACAGGGGTGGGCAAGGAGCTGGAAGCAGACACAGCAGGACAGCTGGCCTGAACCAGCCAAAGGGATATACCCTGCCATATAACATCATGATCAGCAATAAAAGCTCAAGAAAAGGAGAAGGAAGAAGGGGATGTTAAAAGGCCTGTGGAGGGGTGACCCCAGCCAGCAGCTATACACCCCACAGTTCTTGCTCGCTCCCTGACCTCAGGACAGGGGAAAAAACAGGAAAAGCAAATGCAACAAAAATCATGGCTTAAGATACTGACAGTTTAGTAAGTGAAGGGGGGCAAGCACACCAGTGCTGCAAAAGCAATCATACTAGCCACCTCTCACAAGCAGACTGATGCCCAGACAGTCTGAACAACACCCACCCTGGAAGATGAAACATCCCTTTTGGTTTTTACTGCTGTGTATATCTCTTTGGTCAGCTTGGTTCTTTGGAAAACAGCAGAAAACTCAACATTGTGCAAGCACTGCTCACAGCAAGCACATATTTGAATCATGGCACCATACTGGATGCTGTAAATAAAATTAACTCCACCCCAGCCAGACTTGGGACAACCATTATGAAATGGCTTTACCAAATTTTTCATGAAAATGTAGAAAGATGATTAATGGAATAATTTGTTATCCATGGAAAAAAACAGAAGTATCACAGAAGTTAAATGCTTTACTGAAGTTCACAGGAAAATACTCCTTCATTATGGAGTCAAAACAATTCCCCCTATATATATGCCATATAGGTGCTATATATTCAGTCCTTCAAGTGGACAGCTAAAAGACTATAGGTAGGCTGTTATGCAGAGCTGACACAAGAGAACGAAATAATGAAAGCAGACCTTTGAAAAGGTGTTATGCCTTTTAACACTGCAAAACACAGTCTGTTGGTCATACTCATCAACAAAAATTTTAAGGAATTTAAATAAAAAGTGGTGGGAACACATGCAAAAGAAACAGGTTGGTAGAAAAAACAAACTTTCCTATGCAGCACAGAATAGAAGATGCCTGAGATGTACCCAGGACCTCCTTCCCCGTGATCGCGCAGAGTAACTTCTGGAATACAAGCAGACATACTGTTGCTTATGTAGGTTATCGTGATTCCAGTCACATGCCCAGATATTCAAAATATCCATGAAATAAAAGATACTTCTTTCATTTTGTGTTTCTCTATTATTCTTAGGCTTCTTTTGTAGGGAAAATATTGGTCTAGAATTTATTGAGACTATGACTGTAATGAGTACTCTGCAAACAGAGCAGATTGTTTTCATCTTACCTTTTACAGTTCTTATGACTGTAACTGGGGTAAGAGTATTAAGTATACTCTACTACCAAGGACAATTTTGTAAAGCTCCAGACTAATACTAGTATCAGATTTCAAAGGAGATACCTTGAGAGCATTTATGGAAACAGCTTAGTATAGAAAAAAACTTATAGTTAATGGAAACTGTCAAACAGATGCATTTAAACGAGAAGCAGCACTTTTTATATCTAAAATTTTCATCTTGAAGACAAACCCTACATTTCCAGATAAGCCACAAAGAACTCTCTGTATCAAGAAATGCTTATAAATAGTTCCATTACCTTGCATAAATTCATGCTTTGTATATCTCTGTTCTGCATTCAACACCCTGTCTGTTGTTCTTCAGCTATCTCCAATTATTCCGTACAACAAAACCACTTTAGTCTTCACATATTTGAAGATTCTTTTCCTACAGTGTTCCCAATTAAATGAACTAATGCAAGAATTAAAAAGTCCACAAAGTTATTCTGTCTTTCCTGATCCTTATTTATTGCCCTCTGCAGTTGATCTTTGTCCTGGTTTCTGCTGTGATGGAGCTAATTTTCCTTCTCAGTAGCTAAAATAGTGCCGTGTTTTGGATTCAGTATGGGATTTGGTATGAGAAGAATGTTGACACTGATGAGTTTAGTTGTTGATAAATCAGTGACATTTCAACTTCCCATGTCCTGCTAGTGTACAGGTGCACAAGAAGCTGGGAAGGAGCACAACCAGAGCAAGAGACCCTAACTGGCCAATAGAATGTTCCATGTCATATAATGTCACACTCGGTATACAGATGAAGGGTGGCCAGGAAGCTGTCTCCACCTCTTCCGGGACTGTGGTTTGGGGATTTTCCCTCCTCTGGGATCACTAGCCGGGAACAGACTGGGCATTGATCTGCAGGTGGTGAGCAATCGCACTGTGCATCAGTTGTTTGTATATTCTATTATTACTATTATCATTATTATTAATTTTATTTCATTTCAATTATTAAATTGTTTTTATCTCAACCCATGAGTCTCCTTACCTTCAGCCCTCCAATTCTGCCCCCCATGCCCTGGGGCAGAGAAAGGGTGAGCGAGCAGCTGTGTAGTGTTTGGCTGTTGGCTGGGTTTAAACCACGACAGTCTCATATTATAAAATTCAGGCAGTTACCATCTTCATTTTGTGGCCTTATTATCTTGCACTGCATACTGCATTACATGTTCGAACTTACAGGAAATTTACCAACCTGCAGCATATGCTAAGTTGGATTGAATGTGAGCCTAGAAGCATAGTAGTAATTCTCCAAAACATGCAACAAAACCCAAAACCTTTTAAAGCCATGCAGATTCTCTTTCACACTGAGGAAGATCTCTGCAAACTAGGTACCAAATTATTAAAAAAAAGTCTAGAAGCATTTTGTCTAGTGGTACTTAACTTTACAATCTTGTTTTCTGTTCACCACCACAGAGACAATCTTCAGATACATGTAATTTGTATACCTGCCATAAGTAATCCAGCACTGTGTTATAAAGTAATGACTTAATGTAGTAACTTTCTAAGGGTATACTATTTAATGCTGCAAACCCATCTGAGAGTAGTAAGAGTTCCACTAATTTGATAATTAGTTTGAGATTGCCTAGGGTTAGGGCTCCTACCCTATCATCCTCCTAATAAGCCATGTAACTAGAGAATGGGCAAAAGAGCATTTACCTTCCTAACATTGCACCTAGCTTGATTTTCAGTGAGGATGTCTGGAGACCAGACTGATAGATGTAGAAGGTATTCAAGCAGCCTGGGTGTGGGATATGCACAGGCTCGTAAGGGTCCAATTGTTTAGCCTCACACCATCATACATTTGCAGTCATATGGAAAAAGTCCACTGAAATTCTTAGTTATGAGACCTCAACATGTTCTCACGACACACCAGCTGATGGATCTCTACCCACTCAGAAGCCAAGCTGGAAGTGAGAAAAATTCTCTATTGGGATGAAGAACATCCTGGTTCTAGGTGAGCAAGTCAGGAAAAATGCTGATTTTGTGAGGCAGGCAACAGCCTCCACCAAAAAGAGAGAGACAAGTTTGCACTACTGAGAAATCTTGCATCTACAACAACTCTGAAAACAAGATTATCAAGGATGGAGCTCTACTGATAGCTTCTCCCACAAAAGGAGAAACTTCTCTCTTGTTATTTCTTTTTCCTTTTGTACAAAGTAGCATTTTTTTTTGCAGCAGTGGCAAAATAAATGCATACCAAGTTTTCTCACTCTAAATGAAGTGATCTGTATTTCTGACCCAACTATCATGCACATATGACAATGTAATTTAATGACCTTTTCCAACAATGAAGGTGTTTTCTCCCATTCCTGTAAATACCCATTCCTATTATTTGAAAACCCTATTGAATGTCTCACATATAATAACCTTATTTTCTCTTTTCAAATATTCAATAATATAAATAAATCTTCCAAGACAACACAGCATTCCTTTAAGTACCGATCCATACAATCCACAATTTAGAGTGTGAAGAAATTGTATTGAAGAAACAAGCTATGCTTAGGCTTCTGCAAGCTTTAAGAACTTCCTCAGTTACAAGTAACTATTAGCAAGTCAGGGAAAATGGTTAGTATGCTATTAAGAAAACTACAGTCTTATAATCATAGCAGTAAATAATTATCAGGAGTAAGTTATACAAATTCTTTACAAAATTATAAAATATGAACAATTCATTTTACCATTAAAACTTACCTATTATAATATCTGCCTCCCATCATAAACTGATTGTTTGATGTTGGACATATTTTAAAACGCTGAATATTTTCACTGGTCCGAAAATAAAGTGAATAATCACCAGGTGTGTTATCTGAAGGCCTCACAAGAAAACTGCACACCTGACCAACTGAAAAGATATTGTAATAGTGTTACTTTTCTTAGTGTTATATATGAGACCTTATCAAATCTATTTCCCAATAATTGGCAAGAACTGCACTCTTTAAGAAATACAAAGTCTACAAGGTAAGTTCCAAAAGTGATCTCAAACTAGGTGAAGTAGTACTAAACCACCAAAATGAATGCAAAATGGTTTAGCTGTAGATGGCAACCTAGTCACATCTTTGCCGCATCTTTACAGGAGCATACAAAAAAAGCTTGAGAGCATGTTTTCAAAAACTAATAATTTCCGTTCTAATAGTTAAAGCATGCTATTTAACAATATGGGTCAGGAATCTTGATGTTTTAATTTAAAGAAATATTTGCTCTATGAAAGAGCTAAAAGGTTTGTAACATATTTTCTTTCAGGTATATGAAAAAAAGCGTATTCTCCACAGCATTTTAATGAAGACATCAATAAGTTAAATAATTTATTACATATATATTAATTTTAAAATTATTTCAATCAAAAAATAAATTAACTGTTCTTGAGAACAGTCATTACTCATAGCCACAATAGCTTTCTTCCAACGTAGCATCCTACCAAGGTAACAACCACAGGGACTGGTCAGACTATGACACTCATACATGAAAGGGAGTTCATAAATAAAAGGAAGTTTTGCCACAGTTTAATATGAATAGGAACACTTTGTGCCATTTCACTACCACTGTATTTCAATGAGAAATACAAGTACCTGTCATCAGCAAATTGTAAGCCTCTTGTTTGGAGATCTTCCCATGGAACCATCTTAACAAAGATGAAGAGAAAAATTAGAAAGCAAGACTACCAGCTCTCTTTTTTGGCTGTGGTGACATCCAAGGCTCTGGCACCTATGAATTGATCTTTATTTAAAAAAGACCTAATACATATAGATGAGATAACCAATGATTATGCTATTCAAGGATTCTGTTCTACCAACAGCATGAAAAAACTAACATTAACAGTTATATAAATAAATTTCAAGAAAAATATCCAACACGAAGTTGATGTTCAAATCCAACCGTGTTTTGAGATGAAAATGAATTGTCTAAATGGTAGATAATTTGATAGGCATTATTTGAAGTCAGTCTCATACAGCAATTTACTTGAATCATGAAATCCAAAGCTCAAACAAGGAGGTTAAACATGGTACAGAAAAAACTCAAACTGAACTTTGTCAGAAGCTGTGGAAATAAAACTTAGCTTTGTTAGACTATTTAATACAAACTGCTTTGATCTCACACCTTGTACCTTCCCAGAGTCCCGTGTCAGAGCAGTGTCCTAAAAAAGTACAGCAGCCTCTGTCCAGTCTCAGCTTTATACCTGGGACTATACAGGACAGTCTGACATGCTACAACAAAACAGCTTACTCTATCCTTTTAAGGAAAGGTAAAAATATAGCCTTTTTATGTATCAGAAAAGAGCTATAGTTCTAACTTTCTTTTTATACTACCTTTAGAGGATAATTTCTGGCTACTGGAAAGTTTGAAGGAATCACTGGTCTCTCCAGGATTCCTCTGAGTGGCACAAGTAACTGTGAACAGAGGGTATCAAAGCTCCAAACATCTGCTATAAACTACTTTTTGCAAATACATAAAATTCCTATATCTGAAGGCATACCTACTTCCAAATTGACTAGCAGAACACTAGCAAACCGCGAACAAACAACAAATACACCAGTGATTTTCTTTCTCCTTTTAAGATAGAAGAAATGCCTCCTCTAGCCACCAGTCTCTTTGAGATTGTAAACTGGTCAGAGAAAAAGCAGCAAGTGCAAATATGGCAAGCAAATGGAGGACACAGGAAATAAGCCACTAGAATTTTTTTTTAACTTTCTTTTGCCACTCATCTTTACTACTGAAAATAATCTCCCAACAGCTTGACATGTTGATTCTAAACTGTACTCAATCTTTAAAAATTTCAAGTATTTAAGCAAATAGAAAAAAATCTTAGTCCTCTGGCTTTCTCTTTAAAGCTTAAGTGTTATTACATGAAGCTAACAGAGACAAGCTGTAATTATCACACTCTCATTTTTCTAATGGTACTTTGCTCTCTCTCCAGCATTTATTGTTGTGCAGATCTGAAAAAAAGGATACCTCTAAGGCAAGCAATATATTCCAAGAAATACTTCATTGTGCATATTTTGGCTGAAAGTGATCATACAGGGACTTATCTAAGATTTTAACACTGCAAAACCCATTAGCAATAGGCATACCTATTACAGGACTCTCATGTTAACTATCCATGCATCTTCAGCAGCTAGTATAGAAAAAAGTCTTGGGATGCAAAAATAAATCTCTTTGGTTTACCTTCCCAAAAGCTGGGAAATGTAACAGCTGAAGTTTAAAAACAATTATGATTGCTTTTAATAACAAAACAAAAATCCTTACATTTTGCCTTCATGTGGATCTTCTTCTCTTCCCTAATGAGAAAATTAACATATTAAAGTGCATGACAACATTACAGCTCAGTTTAAAAAAAATAAACTTCATAGGTTAAGACCATCTGTAGAAAAAAGCATTAAGAAATCTGAGACATTTTTGAACTAAAGGGCTTATTGCAGTTCTATGGAAAGAAGTTTTCCTCTTCATTCGCTAAGTGGAAATTCAGCCAAAATATGTTATTTCAGAGGATTGCTTCTGTCATATCTCAAGTCCTTCTTTAGAGGTGGTAACTTTTTAAAATCTCAGCTTTCGTAAGGTTAACTTAGCCACTAATATACCAGTCTACAGATCAATAGTCTAGTACTGCCACTTCAATTTAACCATTCACATCCTGACATAGATCTGTGAGAAGCATTTGCAGGTAACATTGCTATTAACAAAACACTTGTACTGTGCAGGCAAGTATTATTGAAAATACTTAACAATATTTGACTTCAACGCAATGCTGAGCTTGTTAACAAAAAATATTCTTCCCCCCCACCCAAAGTATATTCAAACTTTTGTTCCCCTACATTAACTGAATTATCTGCAGGTCACCTGGTTAGCCTCTTGAGCCCACACAAGCCCTCTTAGTATAGTTAACTCATCAATACATTTTTTAATCCACACTTCATCCTTAAAAAAAGAGAAAGACCTACCACAATGCAAAATTTAATTCCATACAATTTGTAAACATTTCATGGGAAATATAAAAAAGGAATGTAATTGAGTAGCAGATTCTTCACCAGTAGAGTTGAGTTTATGAAACTACCCAGTAAATTTACAGTACCTTTCATTTGTACTTCTCTTTGGACAGTAGGTGAATAAGCACTTTTCTGATACTGAATTAGGCTTAAAGGTCTGTCATACTATTTTAAAACAAGTAGATCCAATTACTAGTTTTAGAAAAGTACATAACTAGAGAACAGGCAATTAAATGTCACTAATTTTTATTCATTTCAATATCATTTCACAAAAAAACCTCATTAATTTAAGAAAATTGAATATAAAAATTACTTACCACTTCTTCTACCAGATCTTCTACAATAAGACCTTGCTCATCAGTCCGTAGGTTTGTAACCCACATCCAGCCATCCTCCAACTCATTATGGACAATAAACATGTCTCCTTTAAGGAAACTAAAGAGGGTTACAGTAAGATTTAAATCAGAGATACAACCATAACATAAAGTTTAATGAATACATTGAATCTTAAGTATAATTTCTGCAAGATATTTGAGAAAACCTGTTTGTGAAAAATGTGTGAATCAATACCTCAAATACATCATGTGTGTTTTTCCTGGCGGTGAAATGGCTACTATATATGAGTATTTATACTTTTGATTTACATTTAGTATCTAATACATAGTTCAGTTCTGTCAACAACAAAGTGTGCTAAGGAGATATAAAACAAAAATAACACAACAACATTGAAATATACTAATATTGTTCTTTTATCCAGATCGACCAACGCAAGTAAAATAACCAGATATACTGTTAATATTCTGTAAGAAAATAATACTCCTTTATTCGAAAACTAATCTTGTCCAATTTTAGCCTGTGGAATCATCTACTCTTTATGTTCTCACATATGAAGACAAGTGCTATAAAGAGAGTACAGAACAGTTACCAGAGAAGCCATGCAATTAGCTACAAGAAAAGCATAAGTAAGGAGCATTAATATGTCTAAGGGAATTTTGTTTCTGGAAGGCTAGTGTAAGTTACTCCCTAAGCATTATGCCAAACTCCGGTCATATGAAATCCCTTCACTGTAGAACAACAAGACTTCTCAACCAAGTTTGATGATGCATCAGGGTACAGGAAATAGCAATAAAGTATTGAAGCTCATTAACTACTATTGCAGCCCAAAATTACGTAGCAAATTGCTATGGCGTTTCTCTCATTTGAGGTAGGCTAACAGAAAAGGCATTAACTTGAGCACAAAGCAAACAGCAAGAATTAAAGAACAAAAGGCAACAAATCACTATTGAAAACACAAATTCAGCTGCTAATGAACATAAAACCTAAGAATGGGTGACAGACAGCAAGAGCACCCTCCACCAGCTCTATTACAAAGAACTGTACCTTCAGTTACTGCATGCAATACAGGCTGAAATTAACCCTGTAATACTTCAAACTTTCTAAATATTAACTATGATGTTAAAATTTCAAGTCAAGATTCTCTGAAATGCAGTCTTCAAGAGCATATTAATTTGACCTAGAACAAACCTAGAACTCTGGTGTCAGCTATGCCATGAACAGAACTATTTTAGCCATGTGGATCTCAAAACCCAAGCCCAGAACTTCGCATTTTAGCTGTATCCTAAAAGAGGGAGAAAAAGTATAATTTTCTACAATTTTTGTTTTGATAGCAAAGTAATAAAATGCTTTTTCCTTTTAAGTTGGTAGATGCAATAATAGGAACCTTTATTTGCAATATGCAGTTAGAGAGTCCCTTCCCCGTCTTACCACCTTCTTCTCATCTGCATAGAAAAACATAATCTCATAAACAAATATCCTCACAGCATTCTTCAAAGAGGTCAGATAGGACTGGACTGTGAGCCTTGGGATGAATCTTCATCCCAATGAGGACATAAATCTCTCATAGGCCTTTCTCTGTACCTTAGGCTAATACACCCAAAAACAAGCCAATGCCCAATTCAATTGGTGTGTTAAATCAACTTATGAAACCCATACTGTCTCATTTGGAGATCAGAAATCACTATATATCTCTCTAAAACCTCCTACTCTTCCATCTGAAAAAAAATAATTCTGACATTTCAGGAAAGTAGTATCAATTCCAAGTAACAAGCACATGCTCTTCAATTGGATATGGCACTGTTGGTTTTGTTTCCTTTCCACATAGCATCTCATGAAAATGCAAGAAAGGTGAGGTGTACAGACAATCCCGAAGAAATTATTGAGATATCAATGTTAGAAAGGAAGTGAGTAACAGTTAACAGAAAAGTATGAGAATATGAGAGATAGTCTAGAAATTTGGTAATTTTTAAAGATGTTAAAATTATGGGAGATTACACATTTAAAAGTATCATTTGTTCAGTACAGACTCTACAAAGGGAGGAAGGAAAGGAAAGGAAGGGAGAATTATTCTTGCTCTATTGATCTATTTTATGAACAGGGAAGCAAAGAGACCTTAGAAAAAATAGTTACAATGTTTCTAAGCACAGGTAAGAAAATTAATGCTAGAACATTAAAGGCAAAGATTTTTTTAACATTGCTCCTTTTTTCTTATTTCAAAGGAGGCATTAAATACTCTATTCTTCCATTTGTTAGTAGTAGTAGTCAACGCTGACATTCTCTTTCTAGTGGTCAGAATTCATTTGGCTTGAACTATTTACCTGCTGTTAGTTAGTTCTGTGGCAGTTCAGGAAAAAAAGCCTAGCTCATTTATTTCACACACAGGAGACATTTCTGCACAGAATTCTTTCATGCACAAATTTATTCTCTTGGAGAAAAATTCAGAGCTTTACAAAACCTACTTCAAAACTACAACATTACTGATTTTATTTCTATAAACCTAATGCAACTTCTCTTACTACTAATACAAACAAATATACTGAAAGTCTTATTGCTATTTCCAACAAAGAAACAAAGGCATCATCCTTTAACCTAACTATGTGAAGTTTAAGATGCAACTGGACAGTATCTGCATATGAAGACATACTTAAATCATTAGTATTTATAAATACTCTTGAGAACTTCACAACTGCTGCTAATATTAAAACATACCTTATTTCATCAGTTTCTGGCACTTTGGTGTATGGCAGAATTGCTCGAACTCTCCTTCTGTCCTCCACAGGCTACAATATAAGAAAAGAGAGCTAAGATGATACTTTTACCTCTTTCTTGTGTTAGAATCCTTCTCCTCAGTGCTACACTATTCTGAGGCAAGGGACTGTTACCAGTTTTCAATTTTCAAAGCTCAAAAACATTGAGAGCTAAAAAAGTATAATTCCTACAGTTAGTTACAACAGCTCTCATTTTGTTTCATCTTCTAGCGTGACAGATAACATGTGTTTACCATCTTCAAATCATTACCAGTAAGATTAATCCCATAAAATTATAGTTTTAAATTTTCTTCCACATAATGTGGAAGTTTCCAGAAGTTTTAACATTCAGTAACATCTTTATTCGGGTCTTGGGTTTTGTTTTGGGGGGGTCAGAGGGGAAGCACAAGGGGGGCATTATGCACTGTTTTGTTTCATTTTAGTTACTTATATTAAGGACAGGCATGAGAAAGAAGACGCATTTTCAGAAACCTTGGTTATTTCCAGGATCCCTATTTTGAAACTGTTGTTAGATACACAAAATATCACTGACCAGTAGAGGTTACATTACAATGGTGCTCTTTACTAGCCAAGAACTGCACATTTTCTTGTTTATCCCTGTCTACTTGCAATGCTGTAAGTACATCTGGAGATAACTGCAACACCTGACATCTAGCTTTCTCATTACATACTTTTATTAAATAGCAATTTATTATTTTTTTAATCATTACTTTTTATCAGTAAGAATGCATTTTTATATTCCTTATAATTCAACATATGCTGAGCCTATGCAGAACTAGAGGAAACTTTCTGTAACGTTTTTTTCCAAAGAAAACTATGAATGATGATTAAGTTACTAACATTTAAGTAAATGACATAAAAATTTTACTACTTGCCTCTGGAGGTGCTACTGGAAATAAGAGCTTTTCCCCTTTCAGCAAACAGGACACATGACTGTAATAACCAATTAGGTCTGAGAGTGAAGCAAAACGACGTCCACCAATGTAATAGTCTCCACACATGGCAATAATCCTGTTAATAAAAAGAAGCTTGACTTAAGAAAAATTTTTGCTACCATTGTTTTTTTAAGAAAAAGGAAATTCGGATAATGTTTAATTTTTAAAGCACTGTCTACATTCAGCAAAATGCAGTATTACAAGCTCTCTACAAACACGTAAGTAAAACTTAGCTAATTCGTATTTCATCAAAAATTGCAGATATGTATCACATGATACAGCAGTATTTTAGGACTCTAAGGGAAGTGCTACTTCACAAAAAATCCCGTACACTTGTGAGAGCTAAATGAAATTAAACAGGAAAATGTAGTTGTGTGTGTCCTGGAAAACTGAAATAATACACTAGTAGACACAGCACAAATTTTAAAAGCAGTCAGAAATTATTTATTTAGGTAAAAGAGTTAACAGTATTTAAAACATTCCTGTTACACTCCAGAGTAATTTGCAAAAGCGAAGTAGTACTTAATCTGAAACAGCTTTAATATTTTTGACCAGACAAACCAAAGAAGTGACCACATTATTTAAACTGATGACATCAAGAGATGTGAATTTTTCCAGTAACACAGATATCACACAGAAATCCAGAGTAGCAGCACACTTGCATTCGTACAAAAATGTAACAGGCTGTTACCAAGCTAAGCAAATTTTGCTATTAAGAAAAAAAATAAAATAATAAAATCTAGAAGCGAAGCACATGTTAATCCAGCTTCCAGAAGAGAGACAAATTATCTTAGGGATACTTCCAAATAAATAACAGTACCAAGAATAAATATATTTGAATCTTCTTACTGTTCTTCTTCATATTTGACCTCTTCACAAAGCTTGTGAACTCAAAAATAAAGGGAGAGAAACCCAAACACTCAATTGCCAGGAAACTTATCCTTCATCCCAAATGAGTACATTATTTATTGGTTTCTTCCATTTTTACTCTTTTTCTTTAGCAGGTCAGTATTCTGATACATTTCTGCCCAAAAATATTCCTTCTCAGTCAGTTCTTTGAACTGAATTATTTCTCCCAAACAGTGATGTAGCATGTATACAAAGATGAATCTTCAGAGATGAAATCTAGAGGTTTTTTTAGCATGTAGCACTGCAAAGAGCGTCAGAAAACAATGTAACTTAAAGGACATAGGCTAGACCTTTTGGCATATTTGCAGTAAAATTCCTTCGTAAATTATTCAATAGAGATTAGGTTCCAAATGAAATTTAGTGTTTCAGATTACTGTTTCATCAAATTTAAATGAAACCTTTCATCAGAACACTGAGCTAGCAAATACAGAAAGAATTCTGTAATCACAGAAAATTCTGAAGGTCAAGATTAAAAGATAAATATTTTCCTTCAAAATATTCTGTATCACTCTGATTTACCAAACAGCGGTAACATTTCAGTGAAAAAAGATTTCATTCTGACAGATTAATTTGCTACAAATGAGTCATATATTGCATGAACATATATGTCTATGTGCAACTTTCAAGAAGCACCAAAAGAATTAAAAGAGTTTAAGAAATTTTCATCTAAAACATTGGGATTTCAGTTGCACAGAAATCTAAAAAAAGTTTAATGTGAAAAATAACACTTAGCAAACAAAATATGAGAGACAATTCTTAGCAATGGAAGTTTCACCAATTCCTGGTAGGCTGCAATTGGCAAAGATCTAACTTTGGTAGAAACAGCACTTCTACTCTTCAGGACATAGGAGATCCACCCCTTTATCTGCTTGAAATTACTTTAAGGCTGCCATTCTTGAGGTTGACAATGTTCTGGAGTGTAACACCTGCCTACCCAATAACAAACAAAAATATATACTTGGAAATCAAAGAATGAAACTGAAAATGTGCCCAGTCTCTAAGATCAGTATTAACCAACAAATTCATCCACTTTGGATACTTATCTGTGTGTTTTATGGATCTCAGAATGAAAGACTCAGGTTTGAAAAGATTGTAAGGACTCTTTCCCTAAGGAATTAGAAACCATTAGACTATTTTCCACCTTAGATGCCAGAAACACTTCTATGGTGGCTGTGAGCAAATAGTCAATTGACTGATACTGGCTTCAGGAGGAGAAGTTATTAAAAATAATCCAAAACAGCACTAGCAAGCATTAGCACAGTTTACTTTTCTGCTAGTGCTACACAGTAACCAGTTCCCAAACAAGTATCAGGATAGCTGACAAGCTGAAATTGGTAACTCAGATGGCAAGATGCACATGTGAGATACTACTTGTGTGCTACATTGTCTACACTTAAGAGAATTATGCCTTCATGTCAGTGGTAGGTCAGGACCTCTGAACCACACTTCATCACGCAGCAGATGCAACCAAAAACTCCATACATTTGCAAATCATGCATATAGTGGCTCATATGTTGGTATTCTGGATAATTACCACTTCCAGAAGTAGAAGAACTAGCTCTGAATATGCTTGTTGCTATCAAGACAAAGATTTCTTTTACTCCTGATGAAACATTTGCTTCCCTGTTTTGTAAAGATGAATATTATACTGCAGCATACCACTACACTAACCTTCAAGGTCTTCTCAGGATATATCTCATTTACAGTAAAGAATAAATGAACTGACTAATGCACACAGTTTGGCAATGGTAAAATAATCCTAGTTACAACTCTGGATAAAGAACTACTTGCATTTGGAACAATTAATTCTAACACATATGGAAAGCTGTTTCCAGCAAACCTTCAGATTTTTAGACACATAATCGCTTTGTTTCCTCGTTTTTTTTTTTTGTTTGTTTGTTTTTTGTTTTGGGGGGGGTTTCCTCCAAAATTAAGGGAGCAACCAGATGTGTTAGCATTTCAAGTATGTCCTGTGAGCTACAATGATTACTATGGAACAGATTTAAAATGATCTCCCTGGCTAACTAATGAAACCTGCATGTTGCTGTAAGTTTATGCACAACTGCTCTAGAAAGGCTTCTCTATCCAGATTTTGTTGGTTTCCTCACATTTTTGTTCTTTAGCCTATAAAATAATTTTTAAGCAGCATATTTTATAACAATTAAACACAAGTAAAAAGCTGTACCATGTCACAATAAAAAGTCAAAAATATTAAACTATAATACAATGATTATTTTCTGTTTGTACTCTATTGTGTTCTAAAAACAAAAATAAACAGATTACAGTGTTTTAAAATAAAACATTTAATTCTCACCTAAAATGATTGACATTTGTTTTACTAAGGAATGAAAGCACAAATGAACCTGGTCTCCGATCACTCTCTCGAATAAGGTAACTTCCAGGTTTTCCTGCTTGTCGAAGACGTTCTTCTGCAATTGTTCTGTCAAGTTTTCCATGATACCACCTGAGAAAAGAATAACAGTGGGTGTCCTTAGAACTTATGTTTTCTGATAATTCTCTCAGAATAGACCTATAAAACCAGCAAAAGCTTTCAGTCAAAACTGATTTCAGTCCAAACTTTTGTTTCAAAGTTATCACATCTTTACATGTTCAACCTCCCATTTTACTTATTTCCAATCAACAGTATTTTTAGGACAGCATAGTTTTTCAGATAATCTGCTTCTCCCAGTAAACCATCCCAAGGGGTGGAGGCTCTATACAGATCATCAGCTTTTCTCTCCTAATTTGCTCACTTAAATGAACAGAACCAGGTCACTGATCTGACTTGGAAGACTGTTGTATTTTAAGCCTACATGGGCTTCAGTTCAGGCTGGATGTTCCAAAAGCACAAATTGAGAACTGGATTTTAACAATCTGTTTCTCAGCTGACATAGATAACTGCTGTAGTAAGGTCAGCACTGATTTGCAGTGGCATCAGACCACCATCCAGCCCCAAAATAGTCTTTCCTAATCACAATGCATATCCTATCAATTAAAACCAAGTGCAAAGGCGTGGCAAATCACAAACTGCAAAATATGACAAGGGAACACTTCAGTCTAAAGTAAAGGTTAGACTGTTACCATTCAAGCATTCATTTGCCTTACCTCAGTTTATTTACACAGCTTTTGTCAGAACGCTCGTTCCACTCCAAATGATCAAGTATTAGGTTTTAAAAAAAAAGGCAGCAATGGAGAATGCCATTCAAATATAAAGCCAAGCATTGTTCTCATCATATTCACAAAGCCACAGCATGTTCCAGAGCTACATACTGTAATAATTTATTAGCTCTTCATCCAGCAACTAACTATGCTTAATTCAACCTTTGATTTCTACACTCAAGAAAACATCAGCTTCCATATAACCATTGTTTTAGACAATTTAAATCCTTTACCACTTCAGACCATTCACCTATTTGTTCTAACAGTTCACATATGCCTGGCAAGAGTCACAAAAAATGCATTCTGGAAGAGATCTGTAAATGACCTTTTGAACTAATATATGCAAGAAAAACAAAAATTGCACAGATTACAGCTCAAAAAAAAAACCAAAAAAACAAAAAACCTAATAGCTGGGCTGTTGATAAAACCTAACCAGAAGCATTTTTTTTCCATATGAAATGGAAGCAAAAGTTTTGAGAGCTTTTATCAGCATGAAAATCAGATAGACTAAACTGATAAACATCACCTATGCCAGCAGAAGCAGCACCAGCATAGATACTGTTTGCCCTGGCCAGAGCAGCACGCTTACTAGTATAGTTCTCTGCTTTTCTTCCTCATCCTGAACAAAACAAGTTAAACCAGAAAAAGCGCTGTTGTGTCTGTAGAACATACAGCACTTGAAGCTGCTGCAGGCTGAGATACATTAGTGAGATCCCTTCTCATCCCATTCCAGAGCAACACGGCCGCGTGGACCTTTAACCTGTTGCTTAAAGGCAGTCTGCAAAAAAAAAGTAGATCACACTATTTCTACCATGAGGGTCCTTTAGGAAATCAAGCAAAATCAAGACTGTCAATTTTGGAGTACCTAGAATGAAATATTCTTGTCAGTGTGCACAGCACAGCTGAAACCCGAGTTTGTTCATTCCCAGCTATTCTGGATAGACCAACTTTCACAAAGTAAAAAACTCCCCAGAGACCCAAGAAACTTTCCTGATCAAGAAATTCTTTGAAACCAACATTCCATGAAGCCTATTTTAAACTAACAATAGGTTCACTAAGCTTTTATTTGTTCCTATTTATCACCCACTTGAGAAAAATAATCTTAACTCTCGAAAGACACATTGCATTACAATGCCAAACTTAAAGGCACGCTTTTGAAATGGGGAAGGTGGGAGTGTTAATAACAATGCAATTCCTAGACATAAAAATTATTTGCTCCCCCATTTCAGAAAAAGGTTTGTTTTCTGAAATAAAAGTATCTAGTTAACTTCTGAGTGCAATTAAATTCAGAGAGCAGAGATTCATCACTAGACAGAACTGCTTTATTCAAGCAAAATACAGTGTAAGAGTGTTGAAAGACTTCATTTTTAAAAGTGCATGTCTTATATTTCATCCAGCTATCACCTGTTTTCAGTGTTATATGAAGATGCACTCTGCAACTTTGTATCATTATCTTCAAGTAGTTTGGTAGCAAATAGTAAAGACTATCCTACAGAATTGCAGTACTTGACCCGAAGTAATGATATCCAGTACTCAATTAAGCATTGGCATTATCTTTTTTTTTTTTTTTTTTTTTTTTTTAATACTTCTGTTAAAAGGTTTTGGGACTTTCTTGCTTTGAAATACATCCATAGACCAATTTTTCTGTGAGTATTTGGTAATGTACTAAGCAACTTCATACTACTGAAAAAGGTGAAGATCACTTATGCTGTATTATCAGTTATAAAGAATATCCATTCAATACTCAGTGATATCCAAAGAAAGTACAACCGAAATGACTAAACTACAGAATGTGCCCTACTTGCAATTTCATCAGAAAATAAAGAGCGCAGAACACTCAGAAGGATAGGACCAGGCTACCATAAATTCTGAAATAAAATAAATCCCAGACCCTCTGGCTTTAACCCTCAATCAGGCATCATAATAAAGCTTGACTTCAGTGTTTCTGCAAAAATACATCACAAGAAACTACCTTTCCCTCTTCGGAAGCTCTGCATCATTTTGAGTTTTACAGGTCAAGATCAACTTGAGCATTTTGCAGTTGTAACAGCTTCGAGTTTAATGTGCTCGCAGTCAGACACAACACTTAACCAGATCCCTTGATTTACATCAAATACAGCTTCTGAACAGATGTAAAAGGGAATCCCACCTACAGTGCACTACACTTCTCATGAAAGGAATTAAGGTCTGGATAGTAAAGTATCAAATAAAAAACCTGCCTAGCTGTTCATAAATATAAAGTTGCCCATGTGGCTGTGACTCATCAAATGAATGCACTCAAAACCGTAACTCACTACCCCTTAGATATAAATCCTCCATCACTGCCAAAGACAGGATCACTATCACTTCCAGTCAGTCACCTCTGCTTGCTTGCCTAGTCCTACATACAAACACTTTTTTATTTCTGACTTTAACTTTGAAAATTTTTAAATGCTGACAATCCACTATTTTCACAGTTTTGAGCAAACATAATTAAATGACATTCTGAATCACAGCTAGTGCTCTGACAATACAATAGCTATTATGAGATGCATTAAAAGAGAAAATGCAAGTAGGCTTGCAACAGAATGTTATGGAGTGATTTGTCTTTAAAATGTCTTAGCAACTATAGATCACCATTTAGGGGTTTTTTTTCCATGACCATCCATTTAACTGTTGTAACAAACTTGTAAAATTGTTACTTAAACTGCAACCTTTATTTTGCTTCTAATACCAATAACAGGCTTACATGCGACACAAACTAGTCTGTGAAAGAAAGGTGAAGCTGTGCAAGAAAATACTCCTGTCTGCCAGTCTAAATCAAATGCAGCATGTTCAGAAGTCCAGCTCTATGTATCACAACCTTCATTAGAGCAAACAGACAGAACACAGACACAACATCATCCCAAATAGCTTATATATCCACACAGGCAACATACAGCTGTTCAGGAGAATGGTCCCTACCAAACAACCACAGCCACATCGTGTGGCTGAGAACCAAAAGCCAAGTCATGAATCTCATGGAATGAGTTGCACTGCAGTGAGAGCTGTTACCTCTGGCTGCAAACAAGAGCTCCTTAATTTTCCTTCACTCTATGGAAGATGCTGGGTACCAGACATCCAGTCACACTAGCCTCACCAGGCCTAGCCAGCACTTTCTACTGCAAGCAGGGATGAAACTACACTGCATCCTCTTAGCCAGCTGATGGTACACTAACAGGACTTTGGCCCCCAACATAGACATACCGCAAGGCCCATGCAAGGCACAGGCTGTTCACAAAGAGCTTGCAGATGGTGAATTTATCATCTGGAAGGAGGCAGCTGCTATTATGTGTGGAAGCATGTCACATGGTTCAACCAAAACCTTTTATTTACATATTTCCTTTTCACATGTGGAAAAAGCAAGTATTATGAAACACTGTTGTTCCACTGAAGGATTCTGTTAAGAGTACACTGCAATTTTTACTTAGGAACACAGTAGGTTATGAAGGAGGGAATGCAGGAGAAAGTGCTGAAGGGGAGTAAAAGTGTTTTTCAGCAACTTAGTACAAATATAGATGTCGATAACAGCTGCAGACCTCTCTCCTTCCGTCTAGAAAGTTATGGTGCACAGGAAAATCAGTCATCAAATGCTCTAGCTCCTTCACTTAAAGCTCCTCTTAGCCATACCTTGCTGCTTCAACAAAACCCGTAAGAATGGAGAACTTGTAGGAATCATGGTCAGGGCTCCCCTCCTAAGAATTCAGTCACTGCCTTAGTACTTTTCACACATTACAGATTCCTGTTATCACCTCCTGAGATTATGTGAGCTCTGTTCCTATTAGAAGCAAAAGAGAGCAGAGATAATTACCTTGAACTGAGAAAATCCTCAGTTTCAAATGATACACAGAAATCTCCAATACAGTTTCATCCAGACAGAGGAGAAAAAAAAAAAAAAAAAAACACACACACAACAAAATATCCTGTACTCTTATTTGTTTCTTCTTACCCTCTTAACACCAACCATCCCCCCTCAAGCTTTCTATCTGAAGACTTGATGCTCCTATCCACTGTTCAGGTTTCATTTCAGTCTTACAGTTTCTCAACCTAAAATGCATTCTTAGTTTTACCATTTTTATCCAGACTATCTTTTAACATTTTACCCCCCATCTCTGTCAGATTTGTAAGGCTGCATTAATTCCTTTATGCACATTATTTGTAGAGATTAAATTAAGGTAAATTTCACTCAGAATTCACTAAATTCACATCCTCCTTCTGTCTTGCTAGTTACTATCCAGTAGTTACCAATTTTTGATCAAGTCTCTGCAGTTCTCCATGTTACAAACA